GGTACAAACCTCGCGAAAAATCCAGCGCCGGGCAACGAAGGGTCTGGTACAAGTACAACAAAAACTGTGCGAGGATAGGTTCAAGGATCTAGGACTCTGTTCTTTTGACTAACATAAGTTTCGTGGTGACATGATAAACGCCTGTGGGATAATAAGTGGTTTAAGTCATCCAGACAATGTTATTTTGCTGAACACTCACTATCGAGTCCACGAGGTAACCAAAAGAGGGCTATCCATCAGAAGGTGGAGACCTATATGCGTTCACACCTCTTCTCTCCTCGAGTGCTTGGCCTGCGAAACACAACATGCCAAGGTTGGCGCTGGTCTATCTGTCGTCATCTTTAATTAAAGCTTAGACGGGTACGCAGCGACGGGTAGGTTGCCCTCATCCGGTTGGGTGTATGGACTGAACCAGTACAACCGACTGGTTTCGCATCATTCAAGTGCATTTATCTTCATATGGATCTCTTCATTGCCACTGTCCTCATAAACTCCTGCCAGACGTCTTACCTCCTCACTTACCGTGCGGCTACTACTGTCATTTCTGTTTCGAATTCCCCTGCTAAAACCTTCTCTGCTTCCTTCCCCCCTGACCCTTACGATCTAATCCTATTCAGTGAAGCTCTCCCTGTCACCATTTTGCTTCTCGTGTTCCCTGAATTAGCCTATGTTTCTTCCCTCGCACCCTTTCATTTTATTTTCCATTCTTTTGTTTTTCCTATCCTTTGTTCTTCTCAGTTACATTTGAGTTCTCATTGTCTGACCGGTTTAAAAAACGTTTTGGCGACGCGAAATATGAGGAGCCCATCAGGACCGTATTCCCTGGAAAAGTCATACACCCTAAAAAGTTATCTAACACGGAACCGCAAGCGGGTGGATCAACTGCATTGTAATCCATCGAAGACCTGGAACCTTTCCGAAAGACCTAGAAGCATAAGCGGAGGAACCAGTCGATCCTTTTCAAAAAGGGCAGTAGGGTTTGACAAATTTTGATTAGTTTGTTATATTTACTGTGTTGGGGTTCATAACTCCTTGAACAAACATTTTTCTACCCTTTATGCAGCCTAATGACAGTTTCAAAGGATGTCTGCGTAGTTTGTCGCAGAAATGTCAGCTTCTCAGCTAGGGCGATGGGTTGCGGGCTTTGCTCTCAGTGGACTCACTGCTCCTGGATTCCAGCCAGCCATCTGGTTATTATGAAGCACTGCTCAGTAGCCCTTTTGATGGTGATTGGTATTTTTGTCCATGTTGTAGATCAAAAAGTAAGTACCAAATAGGTCTTGAGCCAGTGAGATGGAACTCCGACCACCTTGCGGCTGAGATCTCTACACGAATCAGCCTCAATCTAAAGAAGTCTCATGGCCATAAAAAGATCCTTCAAGTTAGTAGTAAGGGAAGTAGCGGATTCATCACTGTCACGGACTGTCTCCCGTTAGCATGCCTTTGGAGCAGATCCCCTCAGTGATGAATGGGAGTCACACCTGATAAGCCCCGAAATAAGGGTCTGAAGAAATGTAGGCGGGCAAGATCTGTTAAAAATGGAACTTCAGGTAACAATCGTAAGACTGACAAAGTAACGACTACTCAGTCGAATGGGAAGCCGAACCATAAGTTGAACATTGTCCCCCCTCCTCAGGTGAAAAACGTTCCGCAAAAAGCAGATCTTGGTCCCGCCACCTGTAACTCGGGGCGGAAGCCACCTGCATTTTGCCACCTATCTCCTTCCATCATCAAGAAAACTCCCGCAGCCGGCACCTCAGATCTTCCGAGTCACTCGCGAGAGGCTCATCAGAAGTTTGAGTCTGCACTCACGGGTTGGAATAAGCCCCGAAAGACAGACCATAACCTTAATCTTAGATCGCTCATGCTCTCCAACGTTCAGGAAAGTGGCTGCTTCCTATTGACTGATCGCCAAGAACATGACCTTGACCAATGGAAGAGTGTTTGCAAACTCTCAGGAACCTCTCCCTGAAGTCCATCTCTTCAGCGCCTAACGCGTAGTAAGTTCTCCCCCAAAGGCTCTCCTAGACCCTTAAGAGTATCTCTTGATAGTACACATCAGTCCAAACACATCCTTCTGAAAGGTCATTAGATGGTGAAACGTAAACTGTCTGACGTCATGATTAGGCCTGATAGACGCTGGTCAGTGCGAGAGCCCCTTCGCAACAGCAAGAAGATTCACCCTCAAGAGTTATGCTGTTCGGCAATTATACAATGGATTCCCGAATGTTCGGATACCTATACTGCTCAACTTATGCACGACATAAATCAGTGGAGATACATTGTCAGCAAACTCCAGATTGATGTGAGGGCCGAAAGAATTAGTCGTCTTCCAAGGCCGGCTCACCTCTCGACCATACGTACTCCCAGGCTACTCCAAGTAACCCTCGACTCCCCGGACATAGTTGGAACTACCTTGGAATCCTGGTATAATGCATCTGATACATTCCCTAGAAAAATAAAGATAAGCGAGTGCAAACCCAGGGAACAAAGGCAGACTGAGAGGCGATTCAAGTGCTTACCGTCGGCCAAAGCACACCTAACGGCAGAAAAGTTGGACGATGAGCCAGAGTTCTTATCGACCTTGTCCCAGATCGAAGAACCCGGCACCAGCTCTCATCCAAGGAGATCAGTTGATACAGTAGCCTTCAGTTCCGCCTCAATATCAAAAAACTTGTCAGGGCCAGCCATTTGAAGGCTGGCAACCCACGCTTAACTCAACCGGTTTCTGATACCTCCGGCTCTCATGCTCTTATTTGCTGCACCTTCAGCAATGCACGAGGCCTACGTTCCAAGGTACCTCAGTTAAGGTTATTAGCGGATGAGGATAGCCTTGACATAGTGGCTTTCTGTAGAACACGGTCCACGGAGAACATGAAAGATGAGAAAGTTCTTTTAGGACAGCTCAGCCTAATCCGAAAGGATAGACCGGAAGGTTTAGGAGGCGGCGTTGCTCTTTACACCTACCCTTCCTTAAAAGTCTATGAGATTCAATCTCATAGAGTTGGCATTAAAGACGTCCTTTGGTGTAGTATCAAGTGCTGCGGAGGTCCACTTTTAGTTAGAGTCTTATACCGCCCTCCTGCAGCTGATGCCACGTTAAATAAAACGTTAATACAGTCCGTTAGAGGAGCCCTGGAACTCAACCTCCCACAGGTCCTCATTACGGGGACTTTGACTTTCCTCAACTCTTTACCACAGAAGGTCCATCTACCGCTCGAAAAGACTTTCGGGAACGGTTACTGGAAAACTCCCTGACAGAACATGTTTCCCGGTGTACTCGCTGGGGGCCCGACGGTAAGGCATCCCGACTAGATTATATTTTCACAAATCAGTTCATTGGGGCAAGCAACTTGAATGTTTTCGGCCCTGTTAGCCTAAGCGACTATGCAGTTATCTCCTCCAATATTTCTGTATCTAAGCCACCCGTTCCCGATAAGCCTCTAGTTAGGAATTACAAGAGAACTGATTTCGAGAAGGTTCAGCATGATCTAGAAGGTTCCATTTGCTTAAATTGCGATGACCCACTGGATCTTGATGCTAGATGGGGTCCGTTGAAGAATATAATTCTACGGAAGATCGAAGACAACAATCCTCTGATCCCAAGAAGAACTAACAAGTTCTACTCCTCCTGGCTTAAGTCTAGCTGGCGCAAACTAATACGGCCTAATGTAACACCAATTTGTTGATAGCTTGGAATAGCTGGAGACTCTCTGTTGAGAAGAAAAAGCCTATACGCATTGGCTTACTTGACTTTTCTAAGGTCTTTGACAGGGTAAATCATAAGATCCTTTGTAAGAAACTCCAGCTCACGGGTGTACACGGAAAATCATTGATCTGGCTTCCAGATTATCTGTACACCAGAGTGCAGTCAGTTAGAGTCGGCTCCTCTCTATCTGATTGGTTCCCGATGCTGAGTGGTGTGCCTCAAGGTTCCATACTGGGCCCACTACTGTTTCTTGCTTCTATCAATAACCTACCAAGGGTCCTTAATTCACGTTCACTATTATATGCCGATGATCTGAAGATTTGGAGGGATATACAGCGGCTAACGGATATTTCGATCTTCCAGGAGGGCCTTAATTGGACTACAGAAAACCCGCTCCCTCTCAATTCGAAGAAGTGTCAAATTATGATAGTTGACAAACATGAAGGCAGTCCCAGTTCTTACTCTCTAGGTGAAATAAATATCTGTCACTCTAACATAAAACAAGATCTGGGAGTTACACTAAATGATACACTAGGAACCCTAGTTCACTGTTGCCTTGCAGCCAATAGGGCTTACGGAATCCTGGGGTTTCTCTCGCGAACCTTAGGGTGTCTAACTCCTTCTCTTTTCACCACAGTGTATTCTCTGTACGTTCGTCCTCATCTAGAAAAAAATTCACCTGTAATGTCCCCATACTTGAAAAAGGACATTGCCATCCTAGAACGGGTACAGAGAAGAGCTACAAAGAAAGTGATTGGGTTACGGCACAAACCGTACCCAGACCGCTTGGTTGCTCTTCAGCTGCACCCAGTACAACACCGGAGGGTCAGAGGGGATATGATCATGATGTACCACATCGCCCATAATCTCCTCCATCCCAACAGATCCCTTCTAAGCTTTAGTCAGAGAGGCGACTTGAGGGGTCACCCGTTAAGAATAGAACATGAGAGAGCACGTACAAAGATCCGTGCTAACTCATTTGCAGTTAGAGTCTGTAAACTGTGGAATTCCCTCCCTTCAGCAGTTTTTACAGCCCCACCCCCTGATACTTTTAGAAGAAGGCTAGATGCGCACCTCGAGTCCTACGGTACCGATGGGCTATACTCGAGAAGCTTTCCTCACATCACATGCAGTAATACTAACTTGAGACCAGATTAAATAATCAATCGTATCTCTATCCTTTCAGGTTTTTCAGAACCGGGAAGATAATTGTGACCATTCTAAACTCAGAACGTATTCCAATAAGATAGACGTAGAACCCAAGGAACCGCAGTTTGCTAGATCTTCAGCACGAGGTTTGAAGTTTGAAGTATATAAGTTCGTAAACAGATATTGGATATTGGCCAGTGGATGCTGCCAGTGCGCCCGCTAAATTCATAGCGTAAGCTGTATCCGAGAATGAGTTCGGATAACGATTGTGACTCTAGCTGTGTTATAACTTCCGTCGGTTTTGTAACGCAGACAGGGAATAAGCAGCAAAAACACGAAGTAGTAAGCTTTTGAACCTTTTTATATGTCATTGATAGAGACCAGTAGTTGCGAAATTCCTAGGTTTTTTTGGTTGAAAAAGTCACACTACATATACGTGTTGGTGCAATAGGCGATGAACCTTACTTGTTATGTCTCGGATTGTGATGCTTCCTAGCTCTCCAAACCTTGGTAGGTGGGTCGAAACTTGATCTCATGACCCGTTGATTGAAGGTCGAGTGCCTAGGTCACTGAGCAACATCTCCACAGTTTTAGATGGTCCCACGTACAATATTGTCTACATTCTGTTGCCTTCTACATCTAAACTTCAACCCTAACAGTATTTTCTTTAGTAGTAGACAGGACTATATTACTTGCAACGTTCTGTGGTTGTCAAAGTCGACTGCTTCATGCGCTTATCTCGACGATAAAATAACTAGCTATGAAGTCTTATTCATGATGTGCACTGGTTAAGACAGGAGAACGGCGGTTATATCTGTCAGTAACTTATTTGGACTAGAGGCACTGCAGTGATTTCCAGTCACCCTGGCTCCTGAAAGTGGTATCAGTTCTAAGAACGTGTTCTCCGTTGTACTTTCTAAACTCAAGGATTCGATTTCGAGTTCTTAATCCGTCCTTATGAAGTTATTATGTACTTTCTGTGTCAAAATAAGTACTTTATTTTATGGTTTTGAATTTTTGGTCCAGTCTTACCGGAATACGTTCTTGAAGCATTTAAATAGTACGTCATTGGTAACGACGATTTCAAACAATTGTTTTTTTTTGAAGTTTTCCTGAATGTTCTACACATATGTAATTTGGAGGATGAATTTAAATATAGGTGCTTGAATTTACTAAAAATGGAAAATCATACTGATGTATTTAGAATAGGCTTAGTTGAGGCTTAACTAATAAATATTGCTATAAACGAGCATAGCGATGGTTTTTTCTAGGGTAGTAGGGTCTCTAATCTATTGAATAAACTATATAAATTGGACTCAAAGACTGCATATCCTTGGGTGACATTAATGTGAATCACCGTTAACAATCCTTTGTTGTAGATCATATGATATCCTACAATCAGCCACAGTTGGATCAGTTGGAGTTTTAACCCATCAGCATGGTTAGGAATTTCCTCACAAGCAGTAAGTCCTAGACTTAAATCCTGTTCAACGTTTTCTCAACCTGAGCAACCGGGTAGTATCATAACCCCTCTCACACTAAGTGTAACTCAAAGCGTAGTACATAAACTTGTGCCGAGTAGATGAGTTACATTACTTGAATTGCTTATCTGTAGTAGAGGTATATTTTTTTGGTTTAGATAATCGGTTTCCCACCAGTGGTTATAGATTTGAAGCCTACTTCGTTCACTCAGGTTTAGGCAGCTCTGTGATATCACTAACTCACAGTTAGTGGTTGGCAGCTAATACGGGTATATGTGCGCTAAATTGTGGACTTATTGAAGAGAAACATATGCATAGTCTGAATTAAGTGCTGTGAATCGATCACAATGGGACATTAGCATTTATCTCAGTTGGGGTTCGTTATACTTAGGGGGTAAGGTTTGACACGTAAGTGATATATATATATATATATATATATATATATATATATATATATATATATATATATATATATATATATATATATATAATGATTGTCACGTGTCCATTAAATTCACTGTAGAGGAAGAGGTAAACTCATCGTTTCACTTTCTAGACGTAACGTTAAAGTGAAGGGATGATGGCTCGATCCAAAGGTCAGTCTATCGAAAACCAACTTGAACCGGTCGGTTCACTAACTTTAGTAGTTGGGTACCTCTTGGGTATAAGAGAAATCTCATTCACTCACTGTGTTCCAGAATCTATGGAATATGTTTAGAAGGTACGGTGGATGCTGAAATCGAAACTCTTAGAGTAATACTATCTAATAACGGATACCCTAAAAGATTTATTGATAAGAATCTGAAGAAACGAACCACTTCCCCATCCCATTACAATCCCTCAGAAAATTTAAACCATGAATCTAGAATTCAAAGGAGACACCACAGCCGAAGTGCTAAAAACCATCTGTCAAGATGTATTAATAGTAGCTTCTATGCTGCTAGACTGAGATTGATATTCTCCAGCCGCCGTCTGATTCGTCAGTGCGTGAAGGATAGGCTCCCACTTATGTCCACATCTATGTGTGTATCTACAAGTTCACATGGTCCTGTGGAGCTGACTGTATTGGACGTTGTAAGTGGGCCCTCCAAAAACGTGGTGCTGAACACTACCAGGTTTGGCTTACCAGAGGCGAGCAAAGAAAAACAACTTCATCCATATGTGAACACTTTGTTGAATTGTAACACTCAGCACCTCGAGATTCATCCTTTAAAATAATTTACAAAGTTAAATTGAACTAATCCAAGGGTTTACGCTTCCACCCTAACCCTAACCGAAACGTTGCATTCAAAAACGCTTTATGAAACCACTTTCTCTATCCTTAGCCTTAACAATTCATTTTGTTGATTTTATCAGTTTCATTTCACTTTGGTATGCTTTTCTTTTATTATCATCATTATCACCAATTTTCACTTCATTGACATTTGACCCATATTTCACTATTTAATACCAATTCATTCCTTGTTACTTGACCTATTTTACACTTTCCAGCTTAATTATCACCGTTTTACAATTCTTTGAAAACACTCATCTTTTATCTCACCATGTGTTACCGTGTTGTCCCTCCTTATTCAGTGATCCATTTTCTATCACTTCCACTTGGAAAAATACCACCGCATACATCTATTGTATATTTTGTATATTGACTGAACAAGTCTCTTTTTAGTGCAATTATCTGTCACTTTACCGAGTATAAAAACGACTGCTGAACAGCTCGATAATGAAGTCGTTGAAAAGAAACATTCCTTCAGTGATACATGCCTTGTTCTTGTTAATAAACAATCTGAAGATGAAGTTTAGTGCAAATATTCAAGCTTTAGAAGATGTCAAGAAGTAAATACCATTGTGACCGATTTTCAGCCATGTCAAGAATCCTCAACCACTGGTTCCTATCGTTTCAGGGACGGCAGTCATACAGTCTACACCTCCCTACATCGCTTAGGCCAATAGTCAGAGACTTCATCGACTGGTGCCGTGTCTTGATATGGTCACCCTGAACCCTTTAAAAACCTAGTCCAACATCCTGTAGCATTGCACGTCGAGATGGGTGGTGGCTGGGCATGCGCAACATATGTACAAGCCATCTCAGTTGACTAAGATTCACAGCCTCGTCAGTCGACTTATCTATTTTGCCTAGTACCCTTCGACTGATCTCAGCATTGCAAGGCATACATCGATGCCTTTTTATGATGTTCCGTGAATATTGTAAAAGTCAGCAAATTCTGTAAATATTTCAGCTGCTATAACATTGAGTGTATTGTCTAATGCATAGTAGTTTACATAAAGTTTCAAACTAACACGATAAGTCACGAATACTTTCACTACAACTGACCAACTGACATGATTGGTTACCGTCTTAAGGCACAAAGTATTTACAAGTCGTTAGGAATCTTAAAGGTTTTTCAAATGGCTGGCTGTTTTCACTTTTGTTTATTTCCTCCTAAATTCATATATTATTTCAATCTTGTTTACCTTCTCTGCGCATAAAATCAGAGACGACAACCAAATTCACCCATCCAAATCAAAATAGGACCAGACATTACTGCTTAACAGTCCGAGTTGCCACAGCTCATATCGGTATATCAAGTAAAAACACAGTGAAGTGGAAGATGAAGAAAAGAAATATTTCTTCGCTGATACATGCCTTGTTCTCGTTAATAAATAAATGGGTATATTTCGTCAGTTGAAAGAAAATTCAGTCAAAAGAAATACAAAGTACGAAAAGAGAGAAAGGAAAAATGAAAAAAATGGTATGGCTTTAAGATGAGAACAATATGTGTATACATCTGCGCTACTCACATCGGTCCTCAGTCATATCGCCTACAGTCAACCTTCAACTACTGGTTTCCCTTGTCCCGTACACCCCAACCACCTAGTCTGCATAGTCCCACATGGCTCAAACTAACAGTCAAACACTTCACACATTCATGCCATGTTTTAGTCTGGCCGCCTAAAGCCTCCTTCCAGCCTGGACCTACTTCGGCAAACATTGTGTGACGAGGCAGACAGTGACTAGGCACACACAACACATGTCCCAACCAACCATCTCAGTCAATGAAGATTCACAACCTCGTCAACTCACTTACCTCTTCTCCCTAAAACTCTACACCTGAGCCTGACTTCTGCGTTACTCACATGGTGACACCACAGAATATGACTTATACTACGAAGACAATGGTGGTCAAACACCTGAAGCCAGCTTTCTCATGTCTTCCACCTTCAATAGCCATGTTTCACAGTCATACAGTAGAACACAGTGGACTGCTGTGTAGTACACGCGACCCTTAATAGACAATCGGATATCACGGCGACTCCACAGGTGGTGGAGCCATGCGGGATGATGCAGACTAGGTGGTTGGGGTTTGCGGGACAAGAGGAACCAGTGGTTGGTGACTCTAGGTGATATGGCTGAGAACTGATGTCAGTAGCGCATATGTATACACACATTATCCTCATCTTAACGACGCTATACCGAATCTCACCACTGTCTCATCCTTCGTTTCTCTCTTTTCGTACTTTATATTTCTTTTGACTGAATTTTCTTTTCCTCATCTTCCACTTCACTGTGTTTCAACTTGATGTACTGATATGAGCTGTGGCAACTCGGATCGTCGCACAGTAATGCCTGGTCCTAGGTTGATCTGGATAGATGGATGGATTTTCACATCATTTCCATCTTTCCATATGTTCATTAGTAAAGTTGTTGCGATTTTTCTTTTTCGGGTTGTTTTTGTCAGTCAGTTTTTAAGTTAATAAGTTAATTTATTATATCGCGTTCATTTTCTTCAAGCGGAAGTTTCTTGATAATTTCATATCCTACTTTATAGTTATGTCGAACCGTAGACACTTCTGAAGATGCATGTTTATGGTCTTCAAGTCTTCTCACACGTCGCAGTCGATATTTATGCTACATTTCGGAAAATGTGAATACATGTGTAAGTTCAGTTTCTTTTTGATAAATTTTATAAGTTGGATACCTTAATAATATCACATAAATGTCGCCTAGTGATAGCACGTATGAGATGTGGCTGGTTAATTAGTGTACGGCTGCACCACAATTAGGGTTTGAGGGGAATAGCCTTCTGAGCCTCTCGTACCTCTGCTCCGAATTCATCTAGAACTGATGCATTAGAGTACATGCAACTTCTTGAGTGAAGGAATTAGTTAGTGTACTCAATAGCTTTACTAGCTATGATCAAACAGAACATCAGTAGAAATCAGTCTTGAAACAATAGTTCAGTTTTTAACCAAAAGGACACCTTTCAAACGTTGTGAAGTCATTAAATTCTCAACAATAGTCTTCATGTCAATGTCTTTACCAAATATTTACACTGAACCAGTCAAAAAGCCATCGATGATAACGTCGATCTCTATGAATTCAAAAGAAAACACTGCTCTCATCATACGTGTGCTTATGATAGACTTCAATAACATTGGTGGAGCTGTAGCCCATTGGTTTAGGTTGATGACTTTCAACCAGTGCGTCATAGGTTCGAGCCCCACTCCATCTACCGAAGTTTAGAGAGCCAGATAGTACTACTAGCCCTTACACACAATAGGTGTAGCTCATCGCCCACTACACGAATATGCACAAGGTTGCTGAGTGGATTTCGATTTGCTGTCTACACCCAGGTGCTGACTGAATTTTATCGATCATTTTAGGATGTAGCCATCATACTCTGAGCCTCATCCTCACGACGCACTGGGACAGATGTTATCTGGATAAAGGCAATCAACAGGAAGCCCTTCTTGACTTAGGCTTCATACTTGTTGGCACTCGTCAGCAAGGCGTACCTGCGATCTCGAGGGGATTGATGTTCCATCTGAGATTCGAAACTATTCCACCGAGTGATCAATCCATGTACCTAATCAGTCTTACATCCCAATTACAACCTGAATAGTCCAGTGGTAACGTCACTGACTGCAGCAGTAAGTGACGTTGGTCCGAATCCTAGGTGAGGCATCAGTTCCTTCGGGGTTGCAGGAACCCCTGTTGACGAGTGCTGACGGACACGAAATCTTGGTCAAGCAAGACGTCCTGCTGATTGCCTTCATCCAAATAACATTTTTTGTATCGCTTTATCGATCTTTATCTTCAGAGGCTTTCGATGCACAATACCCTTAGCATTGCTAGTTTATCGTATTTACATTTAAGCGAGTGAGAATCAGTAACTTGAAGCCTAGTGTTACTATTTGGCTTGCTGGTAGTTCCAGAATTCTTGTCATTAAATGAAGCTGAAGAGCCGAAGATGAACAAGCAAAACAGGAAGAAGTGATTATGGTAACAGCAGTTGTAGGAAACCACAAAACAGAAAGAGGTAAAAGTAATAACCATGTATGATGTTATTGCTTGTAATTTCCTGTCGTTGATTGGATCGAATTGATCCCTCTCTGTGGGCGTATCGGCTCTTTTGCGGATGCCTCGACATTGCCTGTAGTTTAATTCTGGTAGTGGTAATGAATAGTGGGTAAAAGTAGAATCCAGGACGCACGTTTCGTCTTATTTGGGACGCGTCAACTGGATGTACCTGCCTCTCAGTAAGTGATGTTGTTTTCATTAAATGTCCGAGTGAATAACGCTCCGGCGTTTGAAGCGATCAGTCCTGGGTTTGATTCATAGTAGAAACGGCATAACTCACCGGAATCCAGGTACACCCAGTTGATGAGTCCCAAAAAAGGATGGAGTATGTGACGTGGATTCCACTGTTATCCACCATTCATCATTATCAAACCATATATGATGTTACAACTTGGATAAAGCTTGTGCGAGGTTGTAATTTTGCCGCTTCTGATCAATTTTAATTCATGTTATTTTGTCTTCAACCATCTGTCCGGCTGCTTTACAAACAGCAGCCAGGAAGCTTAAGCTTCTCTCAACTGCCCTGACCAACATTCAGAAACACTACGGATTGATTTCATATATTCACCTAATCACCTCTGCCTTTTTCTCAACTTAAATTTCGCCTTGTTAACGCATATTGGATCTAGCAATTTGAGACCACATATAGCTCGTTCGATAGGAAGGAGAGCTAAAGGCTATATGTCAGTGTCCTATGCAGGATTTGATCCGTCAAATCCAAAAACATGACACCCATGCTAAGTGATGTGCAAAATTTCGAAAGTTCAGGACAAAAGTATCTAAGCCTTATTCTAAACTCTACTGTAAGTAAAGGTCGATGGTAAATTATGAAAACAACTAATGTTGACTGTGACACCTGTATGGAGAAAACCACTAGGTCCACTACGAGTAAGAATAAATAATGGCTAGTAATAGCCAAGAAATCTACAAAAATGTGAAGTCGAAAACTCGAAGCTCACATCGTAGGCGTGGGAATAAAGCAAATGACTAGTAGACAGACAGGTAAGCAGGAAAAGTCAATGCAGAACCTCAAGCACAATTGGATCGGTTCAAGTTGCCACCCTCAGAATACGCAGATGACATAGTCCTGTTAAGTGCAGACACTAAGAAGATGCAGTCTTCTGAACACTTTGAGGTGGCAGTTTGAGAATGTTTGGGATGCGTTTCTTGCCATGCAGATGCAAATTGTTGCTAAAGGATTCGTCTTCAACGTTGCCACGGCTAACAATAGAGAGTGAAGTGGTTGAGTGGGATCAGCCGTACCCTGGTGTATTGCTCAGTGGCCGGTGAAATCTCTGCATGAATACAAAAGACTCGGTTGGCTTTTGCCAACTTACACCACCTGTGGCGTCGCCGTGATATCCGATTGTCTATTAAGGGTCGCGTGTACTACACAGCAGTCCACTGTGTTCTACTGTATGACTATGAAACATGGCTATTGAAGGTGGAAGACATGAGAAAGCTGGCTTCAGGTGTTTGACCACCATTGTCTTCGTAGTATAAGTCATATTCTGTGGTGTCACCATATGAGTAATGCAGGAGTTAGATGTAGAGTTTTAGGGAGCAGAGTTAAATCAGGAGACGAGGTTTACGAACCTTCATCGATTGAAATGGTTGGGGCACGTATTACGTATGCCTAGTCACCGACTGCCTCGTCTCACAATGTTTGCCGAAGTAGGTCCAGGCTAGAAAAAGGCTCAAGGTCTCCAGACTAAAACATGGCATGAATGTATGAAGTGTTTAACTGTTGGTTTAAGCCATGTGGGACTGTGCAGACTAGGTGGTTGGGGTGTGCGGGACAAGAGGAACCAGTGGTGATTGTAAGCGATATGACTGAGAACCGATGTGAGTGGCGCAGATGTGTACACACATTATCCTTATCTTAACGACGCTATACCGATTCTCACCATTTTGTCATCCCTCTCTTCTTTCTTCTTATACTTTATATTTCATTTGACTGCATTCTCTTATCTTCATCTTTCACCTCACTACCTTTGTACTTGGTGTAGTGATATGAGCTGTGGCAACTCGGACCGTTACACAGTAATGCCTGGTCCTAGATTGATATTGATTGATTGATTGAATGGATGGGTCGCGTGTTCAATTTCAACTCCACCTATCGTTAGGCGTCACTCACTAGGCTGGACTCATTACCTACTGCATGAATATATGCACAAGGTTACTTAGTGTATTTCCCTCTTTATCTTTATCTTTTACATATTCACTTCTGTCTAATATTTACCACTTAACTACTTATAAATATGTAAGTGTCAGATATTATATCTTTGTATTGATTGGTCACGGGGGTGCAACCAATTTCATGTTGTCTAGTCCTGAGTGTGGACCGAATCCTATCGATCATATTTGCAATGTGGCAACCAAGCTAGGAAGCTCAGCATCGCGGTGCACATTAGTAGATGTTAGTTGGTTGAAGGCGATCGGCAGGAAATTCTTATTTTAAAAAAAACAGGGCTTCCTGTTGATCGCCTCCAACCAACTAACATATTATTTATTATCTTTCTCTATCGCCATTAATTCAGCATGGACCGAAACCAGTACTTGTGAATTTGGTGTTAATTGATGACGGTGATCGTATTCCTGAAAATCATCAAGCAGTGTACAATACACTTGATACTGGTAAGTTCAGACTTTCTTTTTATTATTCAATTATTGTTGTATGCTTGAGAAATATAGGCATTAAAAGTGGAAGATATATGAAGGCTTCAGGTGTTCAGTGACAATTACCTTGGTAGCATTGTACATATATCATGAGAGCGTTGAATGTAGGGTCTTGGACAGAGGGGATCATTTCATCTGATTATAACGTAAACTTACAGCAACTCAGCCGGTTTAGACATATGTTGTTAAAGCCAAGTTAATGCCTATCCTGATAACTTGTGCTAACTGAAGTGACTTCAGATCAGGAGAAGGTTAAAGGTGATCAGAATAAAAAAAACAAGATAAGTTTATAAGGTCTCTAACCGATAGGTGACATGCAAATCACAATTATCCAATGAGCTAGATTGACTTGAATACTTGTTCCCTCAAGATCCTACAATAATGTTAAGACGAAAAGTAGTTACTGTTGTAGTGTAAATTATTACGCCATGATAAAGATCTCAGGGTGAAGTAGTACTACTGGCTGGATGCAGTGTGACAGTAGTAAGGAGTTGGTTCGAAGAGGGTTCAAGGTGGCCAGAATGAGACGTAGCACCAGGTCATAAAGTTCTTGATTGTTGATCTGAGGTGCTTATAGGGTGTAGACTACCTGACTGTGGTCTCTGAGGTGATAGGAATGAGTGGTTGAGAATTCTTGGTGACATGGCTGAAAATTAGTTAAAGTGGCGCAAATGTATTCACTCCTTGACGTCTTCTTGAATATTCATGCTAACCTTTATCATTCAGGTCGCTTATTCTCTCATACTATTTTATCTACCACTCCTTTTCTATCCACCTGTTCTTTGTGTACTACTATGAAGTGTGACAGCTTGAGCCGATACACTCCTGTGCGAGGTTCTACGTTGATTTTATCTGTCTATCTGTTCATTCGTTTACCGGGTGTTTCTGAATATCATTTATATGTATATCTGCTAGGTGGTGAGGTATGCTTATCGTTTGAATACTAAGGATATTATATCAATCCATTTGGATCTGTTTATGCAGTTAGGGACTCTTACTTACAACCGACTGGTTGTTGGAAACTGTTTTATGTGAAGCTAGTAGTGAATTGTTATTCAACTTTTTAGAATGGTGGGATGAACAAAAGCTGTCTAGTTATTATAAATGTTTTGTGTTAACTAAAATGATTTTATGTTAATGATAGATCGTGGCTAGCAGTGGAATCTAAGATGCGCATTTCGTCCTATTTGTGTTTGTAGCCATCGCTCCCGAGTCCGAATCCCTGTGGGAACAACACCACTCACTGGGAAGCAGGTACATCCAGCTGACGAGTCCCAAATAAGACGAAATGCGCATCCTAGATTCCACTGCTAGCCACTACCCCAATTATTAGCATAATTCGAAGGCAGACAATATCGATGCATTCGTACAGGAGCCCATATGCCAATAGAGACCGATCAATCCGGTCCAATCAACGACGGTATGATATAAAAACAATTATACTAAAATGATTTTAGGTTGGAATTCATCATGGACTGGCATCAACTGGAGGAACATTGAAAACCTAGGAGCACTGGACTCTTCAGAAAATGCTCACCCATGACTCCTCACCCCAGGGGTCGAACCCGTGACCTTCAGGTTCTGTGGCCAGCACGTTGCCATTGAGCCAGTAGGTCGCAATCCAGTGGTCTAAATCTCCTCCTTCTGTCAATTCACGATATAGCGTGACCTTTATTCAATGCCATCGTTATGTGACTGTCGTCATGTTCAACATGGTTGACTCCATTCGTTCTCATTGTAACTTCAGGAATCACCTCTCAAAGCTAGTCACCAATGAGCACCAGATTAATTCCTGAAGTTCCAATGAGAAGTCGTGACCACTGGGGGGAACCTGGTGGACGTGAGAACAAATACTCAACGATGATATTGGGTGGCTGTCGCACTATATCGTGGACTGGTGGAAGTAGGAGATTTAGACCACTGGATTCCAATCCATTGGCTCAATGGTAACGTGTTGTCCACGGAACCTGAAGGTTGCGGGTTCCGTACCTGGGGTGTGGGGTCATGGTTGCGCACTGCTGAGAAGTCCCATACTGGGACGAAACAGCTGTCCAGTGCCCCTAGTTTTCTAATGTTCCTCCAACTGATGTCAGTCTGGGATGAATACGAAGTTGAAATATTTTGTTTATGTCCCAAAAACTAATCATGTAATGTAAGATAGCAAAATGTATTTCAACCTAAAAACGTCTGGTTACTAATCTATAAGTCAGACTTATTGTCAGAGGATTCATGATACTGTCTAGTCAGTTTAGTCGAATTACATGAAGTGGAGTTTAAATCAGAAGTTCTATTGCTTGAAAATTTACTTCCTAAGCTAGTAATCAATGGGCATCGATAGTAAAACTGAATGTATCTACTTCTTCTGTACTTCATTATTTCTGAAATAAACAATGTGAGCGAAGAAATATTTCCCAAAGTATCAGTAGGGTTCATACGTAGGCAGCCAATAGAGAAATTGTTTTCACATCATCATGATTTATATATACACTGGACATGATTATCTGATTGGACAATTCCCACGTCATACAACAAATCGGATTGGTTCATTTATGGTTTCATTTTCTGAGTTTGTAAATATATGTGTATATATTTACTGTGGTATTTGTCTAATAAAGTCATTGTCGTTGTCCTTGCAGTCACAGACGGTATTTTGTCTTCTGATTTTTGCGGCTCACTGAAGTGTAGGGTATGAGGGAGAACAGTTGTATTACTCGTATCCAGTCCAATTATCTCGTTGCGTTATTATCTTGTACATGTATTATTTGAACCCGAAGTGCAGTCATATGAATGGTGATTAATTATAATAAAAAGATTATATGAAATTTTAAACAGGTCCTCATCTAGTGTTATTGCTTGTATTACACCGTCGTTGATTGGACCGAAATTGATTAGTCTCTGTTGGCATATGGGCTCCTTTGCGGATGCCTCAATATTACCTGTCTTTTAACTATGTGTAGTAATGATGGGCAGTGGCTAGTGTTTGAAGCGATCGCTCCTGAGTTCGAGTCCCGGTGGGAACAACACTCACTGAGAGGCAGGTACATCCAGCTGAGGAGTCGCAAATAGGACGAAATGCATATTCTAGACTCCACTGCTAGCCACTGCCCATCATTATTACATATAGGTCCTCATCTAATTGATATTTTGTATAGTTAGTAACTAAAGGGCGAAAATGAATTGTTATGTAAAGTGGTAAATTGTTGACGGTAATTAGAGACAAAAGGGAGAGAACAAGGTGGCCGAAACTGCGATAATAATAACGACAAAAATAATGATGATAATAATAATAAAAGAAGTATTAAAATATTAGCTATAGTCATCTGTGGGATGAATGAGAGGAAAGGTCTTGTTGTAATAGATAAGCTATACAGATGGCCAAGGCAAAGAAAGAGGCTGTACGAGTTTCTTCTCAACACACAAACTTGGCTTACTAAGGTGGCTTCCTACGGCTTCTGCTGTGCGTAAAAGATGAACTCGTAGAGGATGGGTGAGGCTAGAAGAAATGTGATAAATAACTTTAAAGGGATTATGAATATTTACTCGATGGCCAGTGTCAATCAATTAGATGCGAGAGTATTGAGCTACATATCGATATAGTTTGCCCCTTACTTAGCCATAAAGGATGATGCTCGGCGATTCGACGACAGACTTTTCTAACTGTACGTCCATTGTAACTAGATCCACACGAGCAGTTGAACTGGTAGATTCGCATAGAAGAAGAGAAGTCAGGTAGTCTGGCTTCGGTTCGTGTGGTCATCATCAACCGACAGCATAACTTCACGGCATTAAAAAGTCTTTTTATGGCATTTCTTAAGCGCTGTGTCACAATTTTGCTGATGATGCCACGTCAAAATTGTAGTCTTAGGAACAATGGTTTCTTGGGGATTGTTAGTATTCTAGTTTTCATATTAGACGTGTCCATATTTTTAGCCAGGATATCCATTACTACTGAGTGGATCATAGATAACTCGAAGCTCTTCGTCAAAAGTATCATCTGAACGGATGAATCCAGCCCGATAGACCAAATATTTGACTAGATTTCATTTATGTCGCAAGGGGACGAAACTCAAGAAGTGGGTGTATTGACCTGTTGACGTTGGTTTCCGATATACCCTTCTTTTTACAGTTCCATACACCTTCATAGTCAATCGGACATCCAAGAAGGTGATGCTGTCATCACTTTCTGTGAAGGTTATCGCTGGATGGACGTTATTAAATTTATCCAATATAATCTTTGGATCCAAATTGCAACGCTTCGCATCATCATAGAACAGAGCATAGAATGTTAATCAGCTCTCTACCTCAACTTTATCGACTTTGAGAAGGCCTTTGACAGCGTCAACCGACAAGTAATTTGGCAGTTGCTTCAACACTACGGAGTACCGCAAACCTTTATCCGCCTCATTCAACAACTATATGAAGATGCCACATGCCAGCCAAGTAATTCACAATGGGGAGCTCAGTGATGCTTTTGAAGTGAAGACAGGAGTGGTCGATTGGATCATGCAGCAAACAGTGGGGAGCGAGAAGATAGGGATACGCTGGACTGCGGAAAAGAACCTAGAAGACTTGGATTTCGCCAACGATGACTTGTGCCTGATGTCACATCAACTTGAAGATCTACAGGCGAAAACTAACAAGTTGACAGAAGAGGCAGCGAAGACGGGACTTGAAGTGAATATAGAGAAGACAGAGGTGATGAAGATACTCAACCAACAACAACAATCACCAGTCACCATCAACGGGAGAAACTTAAAGGAAGTAACCTCCTTCACCTATCTAGGAAGCACTGTTTCAACTACAGGCAGCACAGGCACAGACGAGGATGTGAAAGTCAGGATCGGAAAAGCAAGACAGGTGTTCATTAGCCTGAAACCAGTGTGGAGATCTTCTGCACTCAGCATAAAGCGTGAACAAGATACGGATTTTCAACACCATGTCAGTCAAGTCAGTGCTTCTGTATGGTTCAGTGACTTGGCGCGTTACGAAAGGGATTTCCAATAAACTACAGGCATTCATAAACAACTGCTTACGCACGCTACTGAAGATCAGAAGGCCGGAATAGTTAGAATAAGCAACAAGGAGCTGTGGGAACGAACCAACCAAGAACCTATCACTCAACAAATATGCACTGGAAGGAAGTGGAGATGGATTGGGCATACACTGAGAAGGCTGACTGGGGACATCACGCGTCAGGCCAGGCCTTCGAGTGGAATCCCCATGGGAAGCGACGAGTTGGGCGTCCGGGATGAGGGTGACATGGAGGAGATCGTGCGAGGGGGCAATGAGAGCTTGTGGGCTGTCGTGGAACCAGGTTCAAAAGATCTCAGAGAACATAGGTCACTGGAGACGTGCTAGTGAAGCCCTATGTTCCACTAGGAACCCAAGGGACTAATAATAATAATAATAAAATCTTTGGATCGTTCTCGTTTAAAATTTCATAAAATCTTTCTATTATAATTAATCTATGCTTTAGTTAATTATCTTAATTACCTGATGAATTATCACCATTGATATGACTACACTTCGGGTTCAAATAATACATGTACAAGATAATAACGCAGTATGAACCCTACTGATACTTTGGGAAATATTTCTTCGCTCACATTGTTTATTTTACTTACCAAACGTCTAAATGGGAATTTTCGCATTTTTTTTTTCCTAGCATAAATTTAATCTCATTTTTATTCTATTTTGTTAGGTGAACGTGCTTTAAAAAGAAAAATTCTATGTGCTAGATATTTACCACGTTTATCAACTTCTCATGCAATCACTAAAATATTCATTTATGGTCGGACACGTGCTCCTGCTGCTGGTTTCACACGTGTTGGGTAAGAAAATGTGCTTATTTGTGTGTATCTATATCATAATATATGCGCATAGTGGTGGTCTAGGGAATAACACTGGGGTTTGAAATGGTCTGTCCTAAGTTCGAGTAGCAGTGAGATAAACATTGCTTCCTGAGGCGCTGCTGACGAGTCGCAAATTGAACGAAACGCGTTTATGACATTTAAATAACGCTAACAATGTAGTTTGAAGTTTATAGGGATTTCATTTTTAAGGTTATGCTCATCACGAACTAATATTAGTTAGGGGGAAGCATTGAGTAAATGAGAGCAGTGAGTGGATGTTTCGTCCTAGTATGGGACTCCTCAGCAGTATGCATCCACGACTTTATCAGGAATGGTATCCAACACTACAAGGTCCCATTTCAAGCAACTTACCATTGAGCCACTGGGTCGAAATACAATGACCTACACTAGATGAAAACAGCTGTCCAGTGCTCTCAGCTTTTCAATAGTTCCCCAACTGATATCAGTTCATGATGAATATATCATAGTGTATGGAAGAAGATTAGCAAAGTCTTCATAAGTAGCCGTAAACCATTAATGCCTTTTTCAACCAATCGCTTTACTTTGAAGTTTCAATAGAAAACAGATGAATCAACATGTAAGTATCATGTTGGTTGAGGAGATGAAAAATTAATAGAATTTCAATCTAGAAAGGCTTGGAAATAGCCAAGGTCATGAAAATATATATAAACTTTGTAATTTGTATACGTTGTGGACGGAGAAACTGAGTGACCATTAAGATTAGAATCTCGAATCCACATTTACATAATTCAAGCTCTATCAAGTTATAGATAAAGGTATAAAAGGTGGCGACTGAAGTTATAAAAGATTACAACCTTAAAAATCTGAACAATATGGTCAGGAGTCAGACCTCATAGCTTTCAGTTGACAGTGAATCGGCTAGGAAAACCCGATGATCACTGGTTCGAATCCTGTCGCGGTCCAGATTTCCATTTCGCCTTCAATCATCATCATCATCATCACCTAGTATCAGTACTAATCTGCTAAGCAACAGTTATCTCATAATCAAGATAATAATCAATATTAATGCTCCGACTCTCTAATTCAGTTAGATTTGAATTGACATGAGAAGTTCTTATGAGGCAGGCAATGTGAATACTATCAAGCAGTATTAATGGATAACGAATTCACACGGCTGTCACGTAAAAACTCTTGGTAATTGAAATGAAATAAAAATCTGGTCAACAATTGAGCCACATAGCTTAGTCAGTGGTTGGTGGTTCGAATCCGGCCATGGTCCAAATTTTCATTCCTTCATCTTCAGTCATCATCAACCAGCATCAATATACTAGTTTTGCTAAACCACAGTTATCTCAGATAGTCAAAATGATAAGGAAATATATTCATTAATGACCAAAGTGATGTAAAAAAAAGATAATACATTTCTGATGTTTCTCAACCTCATAGAAATCGTTCCTTCGAAGAATACAACCTGTACAAGTTATCGACTGTTTAAATAGCAAATGAAGACAAATTACGTCACTTTGTTCACTTACAGGATCATAATATAAGAAAATAAAAATCATCATTATCAGTTATTAGTCTATGAGTTCAAATTGAAGATATGGGGTGACTTTATAAGCCACTCTAGCAACTATCGAAACAACCAATTTATTATTATTATTATTTGTCCTTTAGGTTCCTAGTGGAACATAGGACTTGATTAGCACTTCTCCATTCCACTTTTTTCTCTATAGTCTTTTCAACCTGGCTCCACGACTATCCACAAGCTTTCATTTCTTCCTCACACCATCTCCTCCATGTCACCCTCACCTCGAGAGCCGAACTCGTCGTCTCCCCTTTGGATTCCACTCGAAGGCCTGGCCTGGCGTGTGATGTCTCTGAATGAACTTCTCAGTGTTGTGCCCAATCCATCTCGACTTTCTTGTGCATATTTGTTGGGTGATAGGTTCTTGGTTGGTTGGTTGGTTGCCAGTCAGAATTCCTTGTTGCTTATTCGTATTATTCAGACCATCTCATCTTCAATGTCAGTATCGAGTGAGCGTAGGTGGCAGCTGTTGATGATGGATGTGTGCAGTTTGTTGGAAATGCATTCCGTAAGGCGCCGAGTCTCTCAACCACCACATAGAAGTACTGACTTACTTGACTGACATTGGTGTTGAAAATCGGGATGTTGTTCACACTTTATGCTGAGTGTAGCGAACTGCAGTGCAGTGCAGTGCAGTGCAGTGCAGTGCAGTAGATTTCCACACTGATTATTTTAGATTAATGCGGGGACGTCTGTCTTGCTGTCTTTCCGATCCTGGCTGCTTTGACATCCTCATCTGTGCCGCCGACACCACCGTCTGTAGTTGAAACGATGCTGCCTAGGCAGCTAGCTAGGTAGGTGAACGAGACTACTTCCTTTAAATTTCTCCCATTGATGGTGATTGGTGCTTGTTGTTCTTGTTGCTGCTGGTTGGATATCTTTGTCACCTCTGTCTTCTCTGCGTTCACTTAAAGTCCCTTTTTCGCTGCCTCACCTCTTCTGTCAACTTGTTAGTTTTCACCTGTAGATGTTCGAGTTTGTGCGACATTACACATAAATCATCATTGGTGAAATCCGGAAGTTGTTGTGGAGTCTTTTCATCTGTCAAACAGCGTATGCCCATCTTCTCGCTCTTCACAGTTGTCTGTTGCGTGATTCAGTCCAGTGCAGTCCAGTCCAGTCCAGTCGAGTTCAATCGACCATAGTGAGGAAGATGATCGATGATGGTAGGTGGCAACCTTGTCTTACTCCTTTCTTCACTCTAAAGATGTCACTGATTAGCTTTCCATTGTGAATCATTTGGCATGTAGCATCATATGGTATATAGCTGTTGAATGAGGTTGACAAAGGTTAGTGGCACTAAAACCATATTATTGAAGCATCTGTCAACTTACTTGTCGGTCGACGTTGTCGAAGGCTTTTCAAAGTCGATGAAGTTGAGGAAGAGAGTTGACTGCCATTCTACTCTCTGTTCTATGATGATGCGTAGGTCAGCGTTTCAATCTGATCGGTACATGATTTGTTCTTCTTGGAGGCAGCCAGGCAGCGTGTTCCGGTTGCAGTTTTGAATGCAGTGCATCCTTTAGTCTCTTCAGGATGATGGGGCCTAATATTTTGCTCTGGGTGGACAGGGAGTGGAGCATGGATGTGTGCCAGTTCTTGCAAAGACTTAGGTCTCCGTTCCTTGGAAGCTTGACATGGTTGCCCTTCTTCCAGTCAGTCAGTCAGCAGGTAGGTATCTTTCCTTCCTTCGTTGCAAACCTTCTGTAGTAATGGTGTGAGCTTGTCCGCTGTTGTTTGTTGTCTGTTTTCAGTGCTTCTGGCGGAATTCCATCTGGTTCTGTTGCTTTATCGGATTTCGGTGACTTTATGACATTCAGGACTTCTGCTTTTGTCGGAGGACTTGTGTTCACTGATAATTCTATGTTTGCAGGTGGTGGTGGTCGATTCAAGAGTTTTTTTTGAAGTGGTCAATCCATAGGTTCCTTTGTTTCTCCTCTTCGGTAACTAAGTTTCCTTCACTATCTTTCATTGGTTTCATCTGAGTTGATCTGTCTTCAGATAGTAACCTGGTTATTTGACGTAGTGTTGTCAGGTCTCTGTCTCTCCTACCTGCAGCCTGTTCTGCTTCATTTGCCAATGTGTCGTAGAAGCGTTTTTTGTCTATCCGCGCACTCTTATTCACTTGTTTGTCCAGTGTAGTGTTTTATAGATTGCGTTTAGTTCCTCTTTTTCGTTGTTCAACCTTGCACTGCACTGGTTCATCTTCTGCTTCACCATCTCCCTTTTCCTCCTCTACCAGCTTCCATTTGTCCATGGAGATCCTTCTTCTTTTTCTTTCTTCTTCCCTCCTAATACGGTTATGCAGGTTTCTTTCCACATCTTTTTCAAAGAGTTCCAGTGTTCTTCCACGTAGGTTCCTTCAGCGATGTTGCTCAGTGTCTCCCATTTTGTCCTGATGGCTGGCTGCCGTGAAGATGTACTTTGTAGTTTCGTCCTCCAGTTTCTGTTCTGGGTGTTGAACTTGAACTGTGATCTATCACCAACTTCTGTGAAGGCTTTCAATTTGATTTTGAAGGTAGATGGTGAGTGGTGTGAACCTCCATCTGCTCCCCTTCTTCATCTGATCTTGTGTCCAGTATGCTGCATCTTCACTTTCTTCACATTGAAATAAAATCGATCTGATATTTAGTGTAATGTGTCCTGGTGCCTGGTGAAATCCATGTCGCTTTTTGGATATCCGTGTGTTTGTACACACTGCCTCCAATCACCAAATCGTTAAATGCGCAGAAGCCTGCAAACAGTTCTCCATTCTCATTCATCATTTCACCGAGTGCCTCTCAACCAATGATGAGTTCTCTTCCTGTGTTGTCCGCTCCCAGTTTGACATTCATCTCACCCCATCCATTAGAATGAAGTTTGATTTCGCCAACTGTAGTCTTGTCGAGTACTGATTGCAATTGTCTGTAGAATTCCTCCTTCTTCTCTTCATCTGCATTATTTGTAGGTGCGTAGCATTGTATGATTGTCCTTTTGAGTTGAACCTAACTGTCATGATCCTGATCCTGCAGGAGGAGATTGATTCCCACTGTATGAGAGCCTTCGATGCTCTTGGGGATATCATGATGGCCACTCCAAAACTCAGTGTGCTCGTGGTTGTTGTCTAGTTGACAATATCGGAGTAAATTATTGACTCTCCAGTTGACAGTTTGGAGTGTCCACTTCTATTCCATTTGCAGATTCCTCGCAGATTTCTAGCCTAGCACTTATATGCTATACCTTCTCATCTCCTTTGTAATCTGGGCAGCCTTGCTAGGTTCAAACATAGTGCGGACATTCTATGTCCCCATCGAGGGAGAGAAGACATATCGGCCAATTGGTTTCCCGAAGGCTTTCACCAACCGGCGTCATTTCGCCTCTCCGGTTCCATCGAGGACTAAGTTTATTTTTATTTTTTATATTTTGTCTGTGCTATGAAGTTTCTTTAGCTATTGGATTGGTTTTACGGGATAGGGTTACTAGCCCTATTCCCAACCTTTCCTTTTTCTCCGGGTTTAGGACCGCCTGGTAACTAGTGAACTAGTTAACCAGGCGAGGTTAAAACAACCAATTAAATTCATTCATTTCATTTGGATAGGCAGATTTTGACAAAACAGAGACATTTAATGGGTTACTCTAGCAGTTAATAGCAATTGCTGACAGTTTTTCATATATTATAGAAACGTGATTGCTTCATTATATAGGTAAGTTTCATTTATTTCATCAGTTGCTAGAGAGTGACCTTTAAACTTGCTGATAGATGTAAGTGGGTGTGTACATATGAATAGGTGTAAAGGTATGAATTTCCAGTTTATTATTTTCAAACTATTTTTCAAACTACAAGGAAAGGCAGATAGCTGAGGCATTTCACACTATAAGGAATCCTGATGCACCTCAACAAAAAGAAAGGCATAACCAACAAACCAACTTCGACAATATGTCCAAACCAACATGTACACACTAGTCATAAGTAAATGACACACACACACACACACACACACACACACACACACACACACACACACACAAAGAAACAGAATTCCTCACTCAAATTACTCTTCTCATCTATTCAGATGTGCTCACATCTTCACCTTGAACTCATGGACTAATAACTGAGAGCAAAGACGTGAATCCCCATATTATTATTATTATTATTATTATTATTATTATTATTATTATTATTATTATTATTATGAATGAAGAATGTGGTCTGATTTCTCGCCATTTACGACTTAAACATGCGATAACTTGTACAGATTGTTGTATCCTCTGAAGAGGCAACTTCTATGTGGTTGTGAAACGTCAGAAAATTTATTTTCCTACCTCAATGGGGGCACTTGCAAGTATACTTCCTTTATTATCCATCATTAACCCAATACTCGCTCATCTCTTATTCAATTCTATCAGGTCAAATTTTAATCCTGAAGTCTATAAAATAACACTACTATAAGCAATCATATATAATGACGAGATGTTATTAGGTTATTATCTAGTTTGTGGGCACATTGTTGCATGACAGAGAGAATGGAGAAGCATCTGTAAGTTTTATGTTGAAGGTTGATTCAATCAGTATGAAAATCTGTAGTTCCAGTTAAAACTATTCCTATGATACTTATGTGACAGTATGTATTACGGTTCAAAGGAATGAAACAAGTTCAAAAAAATTCGATGAGATAAACATTCGATGGAAACCTTTTGGTTGGCTAATATCCAAGCATGCCGCCAGATTATCCATGAATGACCAATCATTCTAAGACAAATAATATTCAAGTCTCTAAGGATACAATTTAATAGTTTGTGGGCAGGACTTATTGATTTCAGGTTGGAATTCATCATGGACTGAGGTTAAGAACCTAGGAGCACTGGATAGCTGTTCCGTTTTAGTATGGGACTCCTTAACAGTGCTCATCCCAGGGATCGAACCCAGAACCTTAAGTTTCCGTGGCCAGCACGTTACCATTATGCCACTGGGTTGGAATCCGGCCGTCCATATTCCCTACTTCTGTCAGTTCATGATATACCGTCACCTACATCCAATGTCGTCATTGAGTAACTGTCCGCCTTGAGGATAAAACAACCGGACCAAATTAGGATTTATGTTGATGTTTCCTCTTTCTGACTCCATAGAAATTCCTTCACCTGATATATGCTTACAAATTTACCAGTACTTCTAATTGTTCATGAACCGTACCTGGTAGTGGCTGGGATTGAAATGCATTACGCGGGTTTCTTCCTGTTTAAGACTCCTCAGTTGGATGTACCCCCACCTCAGTGAGTGCTGGTGAGGTTCCTACCAAAATATGAACCCAGCACCCATCACTCATATGTCTCAATGACCCAGTGGATGACGCTTTGGCGTTTGAAGCGATGGGTGTGAGGTTAAAGTCTCAGAAGGATGGACCCCCGTCACTCATTCACTCACTCACTCACTCACTCACTCACTCACTCACTCACTCACTCACTCACTCACTCACTCACTCACTCACTGTGGTGCAGGTACATCCAACTGACGAATCCCAAATGGAAAGAAACGTGTCGTAGATCCCACTGCAAGCCACTACCAATTAAACTAAAACAATGAGTATTCAGACAATAATGGGGCATCCACACAGAGGAGTTCATATGCCAGTAGAGGTCAATCCATTCTATACAGTGTAACAGCGAAAAATTACAAGTATATCAACAAATAATAATGTACCGTAGTTTTTAAAATTACTGCTCACAATTTCGTTTTTGTACTGCAAAGTCACATTGATCACTGAATTGTACTGAGACAGAACATACTTTGTCTAATGGTTGAAGTCGGTGAACTGGTTGTGTTAAATTATTTCTTTCACAGGGACTTGATTGATGACTAAGTGGGTCGAAGGTTTTAAAGTAGAAAAATCTCAATTGTAGAATTTTAACACAGGGGATAGATGGTATTGTACTCGCAACTAAACTTGATGCGGTCTCGAACTCACCGAACCACAGTGTCATAGGCGTGTACTTTTGAGTAATTTTAAATTAGGATAAGGCAGCTGTTGCATGTTCTCAAATTTCCAATAATTCTCACAAACCACCCATTGAATTAGGTAAGATGTTCAGTATTATATTGGTAAGAGAAAGCTGATACCTTGATATAATGGTCGGGTTTGTAAATCACAATGACCCAGCGACCTATGTTGCCGGAATACTTCTTCCCTCAAGGTCCTGCCATATCAGAAAGGTCTATTGGATATCAGTTACCGTTTTATTGTAAATTGCTATGCTGTGATGGGATGTATGTGGGCGAAGTCGTACTGCTAACTAGACAGGTGTGTGATCAGCAGTGCTTCTCTGACGCTGCCTTCCCTGTTGTAACGGTGAGGAGGGGGGCGGTGGCAGGGTAGAAAAGGTCAGCTTCGAAAATATCTCTCCATCTTTCTGTAGCATGCCAAGGCCTGAAGTAAGGATTCATAGTCGAAGTCAAAGGTAAAAAAACCAAAACGTCATGTGTTATCGGAGTTAAGCAGATGTCTGATGTTCTCTATGGTCATACATTATCTTTTCTTTTTCAGATACTTCAAGACAACAATTATGATATACAACAAATCGTTCGAAGCTGAAAAATGTTAAGTGTTGCGTTGAAACCCAACTGTGAAACTATGATCATTTTACTAGGTTAACATATCGCACCTTGGTTCCCATTTTCATTCATATTCATCAGCAAGGATACTGAATCTAAGCGTGAAGGGTTGATGAGGCTCATTGTGACCAAAGTCTGAAATCAAGCTTTTATCCTTGCCTATCTGTTTCACTGATCAATGTGAACATTTTCTTAGGATATTCATTGTCAAAAATCATTTCTTTTTCCTAGTAAATAATGTTTAAAAAATTTTTTTCTCCCATTCTTTTCAAACTCTTACAAGCGATATCAATTCACTGAATATTTGGTGTAAACATAGTGATATTGGTTTGCAGAATTCAGCGGATAAAACTGGTGGATCAGTTAGACCGCCTGTCCCATCTCGACCATCTCTTCACAGTGGGAATCACAATTATCCAAGCTTTCCTTCATTACCATCACCAGGCGATGATTATCGTCATGCATTCGCTACAACACGTCGTGGAACAGTACATCGTAGGTTTCTTCTGTATTGTATTGTATTATATTTTATCTAATCCAAGCCTACAGGAGATCAGTGGTGGGTTGAATAACTCAGTGGTAACGTCCCTGTCTGCGGGATTGAGTGATGCGGTTTTGTGTCTCCGACAGCTCATCAGTTCCTTGTAGGTTACAGACATATGCCTTGTTGACGTGTGCCAACAAACAGAACTTTGGTCGAGGAGAGACTCCTACTGACTGACTCCATCCAATTAACATCAATCGAAGTATGTCGCGATGCTGAGTCGTCGGGTCTCTAGAGTTGTTACTATGACGGCTATAGCATAAATATGACATGCGTTATCTTCGAAATCTTGAGCAGTACTCAAAGAGTTTCATGAGGTATTTCCTATTATTTGAAAAGTTTAAAAGATAATTGTGGCTAGCGGAGGAATCCAGGATATGCGTTTCGTCTTGTCCTAAGGCTCATCAGTCAAATGTACCTGCACCCCAGTGAGTGAGTGAGTGAGTGGTGGCATTCCCACTTGGACTTGAATCTCGTACCCATCGATTCAAACACCAAAGGTCGAACATTTCGATCCAGGATAACAACGGAGAATTAGAAGTATATCAAAAAATAGATAGATGCTGAAATATGTATATTTTCCTCTAGTGAATAACGCCTCGATACCTAGATTATTATTGTTCTCGAGGCGATCTAAGAGGACTGATAAGTCTAACTACAATTCAAGTAAAAACGTCATAAGTGTATGTATGCGAAGGGAGAATAAACTCAGCCGTATTAATATAATATTACTCATCGTCGACGACTACTCTGTTGAAACACGTGTAAAGAATAGTACTTTCATTTCGAGAGATTAAAAGGTAGTCCGTAACAGAAAACCTATTTGTTTTTCCATGACTGTCAATAGTTAATACTGGATGATGACTGAAGGTGACGTAAAAATCTGAGTTGCAGTGGGATTCGAGTCAGCGACCATGAGGTTTCTGACTCGGTGTTCTACCATTTGAGCTAGGAGACCTGACTGCTGACCGGATTTTTATTTCACCATCAATCACCACCTAGTGTCTATAGCACAAGTCTGGTAAGCCACAGCGGTTATTCAGACGATATCAGTTTGTAGATAAAGGATTATCTTCAGTTTTTTAAAAAAAAGCAAACTTAGAGAAGTGTAGATTACGATGAAGTGGAGCTGTAGTTACTTGGTTTTGTCGGAGTTAACTTTCAACCAATGTGTATCATATTCCACGTACCGAAGTTTGGGCAGTTAGGTAATATCACTAACCGTCACACAATAAGTGTGACTCATTCCTGCTTACTGCACAAATGTATACAAGGTTACTGATTGGATCCTTTTGGATTACTATAGTAGAAGATTGTTGTAGGGGATACTAGATACTACAGGTTAGTCTCTCCACTGGTCTCTAAATTTCAACAGATCTTTATGAATGGATTTATAGCGAATGTGGAAACCCTGATATCGAATACTGTTGAATGTAGTGACAACAACAAGTGTATATCAATACATCTGAAAGGCTAACTATAGCTGACAGATGTACAGGTAGAATCAACGTAAAACCTCGCATACAGGTTCATTAGTTCAAGCTACCACACTTCACATTAGTGTACAAAAAACAGGGGGATGGCCACCCTGAACCGTCTTTCAACCCAATCTGACTTCATTTGCCTAACATTTCACATCGAGGTAGGTGGTGGCTTGGCATGCGCAGTACCGTGTTCAAGTCACCTCACTCGACTGAGTTTCAAAACCTCATTAATCGACTTGTCTGTCTTGCCTAGTACCCTTCATATGACCTCTACATTGTTCACATGGTGATTTCACGAAACACGAACAATACTACGAAGATATGTGTAACTGAAACCAAGTATTCACTTCATGACTTCTTTTAACGGCTGTCTCAAGTGTGTAACAGGACAGAACAGGCTGTAGCGCAGCATGGGTAGGTAGGTAAGTAGGTAATCGGACATCTCGCTGGCGCCACACATGATGCAAGTTAGCAAACATCAAACAGGCCTTCAGCATCCGAGCTGAGCCTTTTTCAGTAATCAGCCCGTTCGTATTGATGCAACTCCGCAATTCCTAAATGAGAATGCGACTGATTTTCAGCTACGTCACCAGGAGTCCTCAACCACTAACTTCTATCGTCTCGCGGACCCCATCCAGGCAGTCTACATCTCTCCACACCACTCAGACCATCAGTCAGGGACTTCATGCAGTAGTGGCATGCCCTAGTCTTGCCACCATGAACCCTCTTTGAACCTAATACGACTTCCCCTGCCTAGCATCATAGCACATCAAGATAGGCGGTTACTCGCCATACACAACTCAAATACAAGCCATCTCAGCGGATGAAGCTTCACAACCTCATCAATCGACTTCTTTGTCTTGCCTAGTATCCTTTGGCTGACTTCAACATCGCTCACATGGCCCTTCCACTACTGCAGCGCAGTATACTCCTTTTTTAATGGATAGTCAGATACCTCGCCAGTTGGCATCACAAATGATGCAAGTTAGCAAATGTTAAACGAGCTTTTTGTATCCGAGTTAGGATTTCTTCAGCAACCGGCCTGTTTGAGCTAATGCAACTGCCCGAGTACGTGAATGGTCGGGACATTCCATTAATATGATGTACCTGGTATAGCATTTTCTGATCGTAATTATCTTAAGCACAGGATTGGTCTCGTATATAATTGCGCAATTTCATATGGTGGCACGATAGGTCATGCAGATTTGATCCTCCTAAGCGCACACAACTGAACATAAATCCTAGCGCTTATTATCGGTATATTCTTTCAGTAATCTGATTCATCCATGTATAGACATAACGCAGCATAATTTATAAAGATGAAACAGCGAATTTCAAGCACAGTATATAGGATAATGCCAAATTGTGGATTTCATTCAATATGCAATGATTATTTTCAAACTATAAGTTATATGTAAATGGTTAAGGGGTCCATCAAAGGCTCTGAAACCGAGCGAGGTATACACTAATATTACTAATTAAGTTATAAGTAGAATAACTTGAAGAATAAATAAAATAGTATGACCAATGACACTTATCTGAGTAGATCCGCTTTTTGGCCGATATGGCAGTGTACATTTTTACGAATTCGAACACAACTATGTACCAGTCCATTCATCCAGAAATCTTGAATGAAGATGTAATGAGTTATCACTGTTGCCTAGACAGATATGTGATGCATATTATGAAGTTCACATCTATTCCAATCATATCTAACAATGTTGTTTCTAGTTGGATGGATTCAATTGTCAGGAAGTCCTGGACTTAGGTTCCATCAACACGGCGTATCTGCAATCCCAATGTAACTAATGTTCCCCAGTGACTGACATCTTGTAGGATTGGATTAGATACATTGATTGGTTACTGGAGGGTTAACCAACTTTATGTTGTCTACTTCTAACTGCTGATAGAATTCTATTGATCATTTTACAATGTTGCCATCAGACTAGGCAGCTAGCTAAACATCGCGATACACTTTGTGATATGTTAGTTGAATAGAGGCAATCTTATTGATTAGTAATGTCCCATGACTTTCACTAATATTATGATTTTATTGTTTATCACTTGAAATACAACTGAGTAGATGCTATGTAACTGAGATTGTGTGAATTTTCTGGCAGATCAGTAAATGGGTACTAAGCCAAAAAAGGAGGGAAGTCGATAAGGTTGTGATCGTTCAAAAATTAAGGTGGTTTAGGTATGTACTGTGCTTGCCAGGTCACCGCCTACCTCGATATACAATCCTAGGACATGTTGGAAGAAGGCTTAGAGTGGCCGAACTAAGATGAAGCATAAGTGCATAAATTCCCTGACTGTTGATATGAACCATGTAGGAAGGTGTAGACTACTTGGATATTATTATTATTATGGCTATTATTATTTGTCCTTTGGTTTCCTAGTGGAACATAGGGATTCAGTAACACGTCACCACTTTACTCTCTTCTCTCCAGTCTTTTCAACCTGGCTCCACGACTGCCCACAAGCTTTCATTTCTTCCCCACACCATCTCCTCCATGTCACCCTCACCTCGAGAGCCGAACTCGTCGTTTCCCCTTTGGATTCCACTCGAGGGCCTGGCGTGATAGGTTATGTCTCCAATCGGCCTTCTCAGTGTATGGCCAATCCGTCTCCACTTTCTTCTACATTTTTGTTGGGTGATAGGTTCTTGGTCAGTTGGTTCGTTACCAGTCAGAATTCCCTGTTGCTTATTCTTCCTGGTCATCCATCTGATCTTCACTGGCGAGTGAGCGTAAACGGCAGCTGTTAATGTGATGGATGTGTGCAGTTTGTTGGAAATGCATTCCGTAACGCGCCAAGTCTCTCAATCACCACATAGAAGTACTGACTTTTTGTTAAAAATCCGAATGTTGTCCACGCTTTATGCTGAGTGCAGTAGATCTCCACACTGATTATTTTAGATTAATGCAGGAAAGCCTGTCTTGGTTCTCGGATCCTGGCTTTGAAGTCCTCATCTGTGTCACCGCCTCCTGTAGTTGAAACGATGCTGCTTAGGTAGGTGGGTCAAAGAGATAAATTCCCTTAGATTTCTCCCATTGATGGTGATTGTTGCTTGTTGTTGGTTAGGTATCTTCATCACCTCTGTCTACTCTTCATTCACCTGAAGGAAGTCCTGTCTTCCCTTGCTGCCTCGCCTCTTCTGTCAACTTGTTAGTTTTCACCTGTAGATGTTCGAGTTTGTGCTACATTACACATAAATCATCATTGGTGAAATCCGAATGTTGTTGTGGAGTCTTTTCATCTGTCAAACAGCGTATGCCCATCTTCTCGTTCTTCACAGTTGTCTGTTGCGTGATCCAGTCCAGTTGAGTTCAATCGACCACAATGAGGAAGATGATCGATGATGGTAGGTGGCAACCTCGTCTTACTCCTTTCTTCACTCTAAAGATGTCACTGATTAGCTTTCCATTGTGAATCACTTGGCATATAGCATTATATAGCATATAGCTGCCGTTGAATGAGGTTGACTACTTGGCTAGACTACTCGAATTAATAGGAGCCGATGTCGTTTAAAATCGATCACAATGACGCGGATCGATTTACTCTTCAATGTCTTCTGAAGCTTGAATGGTTTAACTGACTTTAATTTTTAAATTTCCTTTCCTCCTATACGCCTTTGTCTAATTTGTTATCGCTCTTTCCTATCGGCTTATTCTTTGTATACTACTGGGAACTGTGACAACTTGAAATGATCCACTGGTCTGTAAGGTTCTACTTTGATTTTCTCTGTCTATTGACTAATAGTATACTAATTTAGATTGCATTTCTTGGCCATATATCATACTCAGGGGGGAATAAAGTTGGAATTTCTCGCAGTGAAATTGTGACTTGTTGCCTAGGTACTCAATAGGGGACCCCTCTCCTGCACTCTACCTAATTTAGCTTATTTCAACGGTTTTTGTTGACATTCTTCAGACAAACTTTTTTAGTTTAAAAAGCCCCTTTTAAAAAAATCCTTTTGTGTGTATGTGTTTACTTTATAATTGTCAGCGTTGTCGGGAGTTCCTTTCGAGATAAATAAACGTTATCTTGCTGATGAAGCTGTGGAAAACAGAGTAAGTGGATTTTTTTTTCGTATTATTTTTTCCTCATAATAATAATAATGAGAATAATAACTTTATTCCTACCAAGTTTTGTGGCTAGCAGCGGAATACAGGAAGCGTGTTTCATCTCATTTGGGACTCCTCAGCCGGATGTGACTATCGTTCCCCAGTGGCCTTTGGTGTTTGGCGTTTGACGCGATGGGTACAAGGTTTGGATCTTAGTGACAACAACATTACTGCGCACAATGGTGCAGGCATATCTACCTGACGAGTCCTAAATAGGACGAAGCGCGTATCCTGGATTCCTCTGCTGGCCACAGCTGAGTAAATTATCGTAATAAATATTCAGGGAATATCGAGGCATCCGCATAGGAGGTCCATATGTCAGTAGGGGTCAAACAATCCGATCCGGTAAAGCAATGGGAAATTACAAGCATATCAACACAAATAGTAATAAATTTTGATACAATTTGGGATTTTCAGCATGTTATATTGCCACAAAAATATACATCCACTCCTATTCAGTAAAGATGCACAGTCTTATGGGTAGCTTGATTGATGATTCGACAATGTTTGGGACGTGTTTTTCACTACCCGAATGCTTATTTTCATCCAAGGACTGGTGTTCAGTATTACCCTGACTAGCAGTTGAAAGTGAGTAGTTGAACGCGTTGACTACTTCACTTACCTGGGAAGTGGAATTAGTCCTGGTGGGTCAGTGACTGACGAAATCTCTATACGGATACTAAAATGGGTCAATTAGCTTTCGTTAATATACGTCATTTATAGCTGCGCCGCAATATCCGACTGTCTCTTAAGATTCGTGTGTACCGTCCTTCAGTTTTCTCTGTTCTGCTGTATGACTGTGAAACAGAATTATTGAAGGTGGAGCGGATGCGAAGGCTTCTAGTGTTCGACCACCGCTACCTTGACGTGGGGGTCGGGCTTGTATATCGCGACGACCCAACGAGCTATGCTGGTGGAACGCTTGCCCTCTCGAGGTCCTACCATACCGGAAAGGTCTGTTGGACTCGACAAAAAGTAGTTGCCCTTAACATGTTCCCCAACAATGAAATGATACATCATGATGGTTAGATCAGTCATCAATGGTTATTGGCAATCTAAAACCACAAGACGTGTGTTCAACCATGCCTTCCATAATACAGGCCGTTTTTCATGGTATTAGAAAGGTCGTATGTTACCGGCCTGTGGCAGATGTCGCCTAGGCTCTGTGATCACACAGTAACCCTTCTTTTTCAGGTACCTTAAGAAGACATCCTTCCACGGTGTAGACAATCGGAAAATGTCAACCGCACTCACAGTTCTGTCAGCGCTCACAGCGCAAGTCGTGTCATGGTGTCATCACGTCAGTAACGCAGAAGTTAGGTGATGCAGTTGTGAATTTTCATCGACTGAGGTATCTCAGTTATGTGTTACATATGCCTAGTCACCTTTTACCTTGTTTCTCAATGTTGACTGAAATATATTCAGGCTGGTAAAAGGTTAGTGGTGACCAGACTAAATCATGACATCAATTCATGAAGTGACTGACTTTTAATCTGATCTGCGTTAAAAGCTATGAAATTCCCCATCGGCTTACATGTGACAATAGAAACCAGTGGTTAAAGACTCTAGGTGATGATGATATAGCTGAGAATCGATGTATGTGGCTCAGATATATCCAAACATTATCCTAACTTCAGTATTTTCTTATTCCTCTCTATTCTCTTCTACTACTTTATCTTCCATCTCAATGCATTCTCAGTTGATGGTGTGATATGAGTTTAAGGTAGCTTGAACCGTTACGCAGTAATGCCTAGTTCTATGTTGTTAATGATTTTCACAAGCAGTAGTTAGTAGGTTGATTATATGAAGTGCTGAATTATGTTTTACTCTAACAAGTCATATGGTATATTCTGAATGGATAATTAATTTCAAATAATGTCTCTTTATCATCCTTGTTACTGTAATTGACAAACTACTCACAATTCAAATGAAGGATTTACACTTTGACCTACACAACGTCATCTGGGAAATCTTTATTTACCCTTTTTCTCTCCCTCTCACTGAATTCAGGAATCAGCTAATTTGTAATACATTTGACCGTCTCCTTTTATGTCTGTATAGATGAATCGTTCATCTGTGGAAACAGACGGAAAATGGATTCCCTAATGTACATTCCTCTAAAAGTATGGGTACCAGAGATCTACATTAGTTATCATATATTATTCAAGACATGTTTCTCTAAACCAATCTTTCATCAGTGATCCTCTGAAGAAATATCCATCGTTCTATTTTCAAGGTATATCGTCAGGATATTTAGTACACCAGTTTGAAACACTCATCTTGGTGACTAGCAGTGAAATCTTGGACGCACGTCTCATTCTATCTGGGATTTGTTATATGGATGTAGTTGCCTCTGAGTGAGTTATTTTTGCAATAAGACTTGAGCTCATTGCTTCAAAGTCCAGACCATTATCCACTGGAGCACGAGATCGATGGGTACGGGATCCGAGCCCCAGTGGGAAAGCCATAGCTAAACTCAGTAAGGTGTAGGTGCATCCAACCAAAGAGTCCTAAATAGGCTGAAACGCGCATCCTGAATTTTAATGCTAGTCACCAAGATGAATACAACATGAATATCCGATAGTATTGGGGTATTTGCATAAGAGGAGCATATTTGCCAGCAGTTCATATATCCACCTATGCACATGGGGGGGGGGATAACGCTTTGGTGTTTGAAACGATTAATCCTGAGTTTGAGTCTTGGTGGAAACATTACCTACCAGGAGCAGGCGGGCGCATCCAGCTGACGAGTCCCAAGTGGGACAGAACGTACATCCTAGATGCCCTTGCCCTTGATTTTTTTAATAACTCGATAAAGCTGATCAAACAGAAATATTACACCAGTTGATGGACTCTATATCTGTTAGTTTGAACCTGATAGGCATGAGCGTAGACTCTTTGAATTAGATCTAATAAGGAACTGATATTTTCAATCTGATACTAGTTGGTAAGATTCAATGCTGGTCTTGTATTCAAACTCAAGTAAGTCACAATCAAATGTATCCCTTGTAAACTATTTTCTTACTTACAATAATGATAATGGTTTTATTCTGAAAGCTATTTTGGGAATAGTCTACCGTCTTTTCAATATGTTATATAGTATCCATTGGACAAAAACAGTGTGTATGTATATATAGCAAAATGGTTCATAATACGTAAAATAGTAACATGCTCATCATCCTTCTCAATTAGTTTGCTTTCAAAACCACAAGTTGATTAGTTATTTCATTTCTAATGCTTTCTTCATCTCACAGCAGATGAGTACATGCATAAAGTCTTATATACTTACTCCTCATCTTTCTAAATGACTGACACGTAGTTAGCTTTAAGTGAAGAGGATGTTGGTCATCTGATGAAATAATTCCTTCCAGATGTTAAAATAAGTTAAGATGTTTTTCCTCAACTGTTTTAACTAAAAGGTTTAGGGGTATACCACTAGTTCTGCTGAAAATCTTCAGAGTTCTAAGCAATACAGTATAGTCTTTTTTCAATGACGGGGGAAAGAATAAAGGAAAAGAAGCAAGATGTAGAAGTTTATAAAACACAATAGGAGAAACTGAGTTATACCAGATACTCTCAGCTTCCTCATATAGAAAGTTAGGCGGAAAATATCTTTTGAAATTAGTAAGACATGAGAGGAACACACACACACACACAGAGATAAATTACACTTATTACATTCTCTAATGTACAACTATCAATGGAACAGGAACCATGAGAACATTAAGCATGTCAATGAATTTTAGTTATATAATTAATAAGGTGAATTTTATTCATATTTTTAGAATACAACTGCTTATTCAGTATACAAAACACTTGATCAAATCAATTCAGAGGTCAGTTATTGTTTCTCAATGAAAACTTCCTATGTATATGTGATTCTTTAATAAAATATAATGTCATACATTTCAATGGTTTGATAAATTTAAACAAAACTGAAAAAAGAGAGACTAATTTCTCAGTATAGAATGATATCAACATTTGATTTTTACGAACACTCTTCAGCCGCTACTATACAGTTGAAAAATGCAATGATTAATAACAGTAAATAAGATACTTTAAAATTATATCACAGAATTAATTGTATAATACGCACCGATGACCCTGAGGAGTCTCATAATTAGGACGAAACAGCTGTCAATCCATAATGAATACTACCTCTTAATAAATAAATGAAGAGTTATATTATTGAAATCAAAGTGAAACAGGATTAAATTACAGTCACTAAGGTAGTGAGAGATCAACTACACTTTTCTTCTGTATACAAAGAATCAGATTGATAGCGTTTTATTGAAATCACTTCCATGCAGTATTTCAGACATTTTCTATACGTTAATTGTTGCTATAAAAACACTCGATATGTGTCAACTTGATGTCCTGTGTTTACGAGGTGTGTAGTAACTTCAGTGGAATGAAATCAGTTGGAGAAACATTTGAAACCTGAGAGCATTGGACAGTTGTTTTATCTTAGTATGGGATTCCTCAGCAATGGGCCCCTATGACCTCCTAGGTTTGATCCTTGGTGGCGTCATGAGTGTGCACAGCTGATGATTCTCCTACTAAGACGAAACACCTGTCCAGTGCTCCAAGGTTTTCAATGTTCTTTCAACTAATGAATACCAACTTGGAATTTACTTCATTTGAAGCATAGATACTTGAGAATACGTTCAGCTAACCGAATGAACGCCTTTCTCTCAGTTTATCCTATCTACTTGGTGCGACAAGTTCATGTGAATTCGTAATACAGTTGAAAGTGGCATGAGAAGGGTAATTATCCGCCTTCCACAGGTTTAGTTAGCATATGGTATTGTATACGGATACAGTTTTAACTGCAGGAAAGCTCTATCTCAATGCTTCTTTGATCCTTGTGTCTACTCTCTTGGTTATTGTATCTTTCTTGAAAGTAACGTGTTTAAAAACCTTTTTCTTTTCCATATTTGGATGTTTATTTCTCTCTATTTGTTCTCTTTTTATACTTCATTAGAAATCTTTGAGGATATCCATTCACTTGAAGAGATACTTCTCAATAAGTTTGAGTTCTTTCTCTAACTTGTTATCAGAATATAATTTTCTAACTTTGTTATAAAGTGTTTCAACTAGCCCATGCTTATAGCTGGTAAAAGAGAGAGAGAGAGAGAGAGAGAGAGGTATTGCCCAATCCATATATCTTTTCTATGGATGAACTTTTTTTCTATTGTACCATTAATCCCCTTTTTCCCATTGAGGTTCATAAGGGTGAGCTTGTTTTCATGCTTATGTTCTCTTGTAAATTTAATGTTAGAATGAACCTTATTAAGCTATTCAAACAACTCACTTCCGTGTTTCATATCATTACAAACAACAAAGATGTGTCATAGTAGGTTGTTCATCTGTTGACTGAACTTAGGTGCATCTGTTCAAGATAACCCATAAAAATATCTGTTAGGACAGGTCCTACAGGCGAACTTATTGCCATTGCACAAATCTGTTTATTAGAATTGGATAATTTTCTATTCAACAACAGAGTATCGTATTTATGAAATGATATGCACTTGTGGTAGCAGGTAGATTGGAAGGACTGAGCGAAGGGTATCCATTCGGTTCACTGAACATATCTGTGTGAATCTATTTTTGAAAGGAAGTAGAATTCTAACCAGTGCAATCACCAGATACTTCGTTGACAGGACATTAGGTTGATACACCGACTGTATGCGGCTGATGAGTATTCGTAAGATTAAATGACAATACCATTTTATTCCGTAGACCTTGTTCTTTTCACCTTTTCGAAAAGTTAATTTGTTTTACCAGTCTTAAAATCATATGGTAAGTGTAACTCTCTCTACACAACCGACTGATCCGTTTACAGTTAATAACTAGTAATAATCACAGTAGTACTTTATTCCAGTAGTTAGTAGTGTCTACGCATTGTTACTTGTTTGTTGTATATTTGCATAATTTGACTGCATGAATACTTCTGCCTTATATTCACTTATCATCCATCCTGTCTATTACATTTTGTTCAACTTTTGTTCGTTCAAGCCCCCCTGTTCGTTTGTCGTCTACCTTTCTTTATTCAATTTTTCTTCTAACTACTTAATCCATCTCAGTAGTATTTGAAATTCGTGTGAAAAACAATCTAGCTTAGTAATAGTTTCTCACTCAGAAACTTGAAACAATTAAATTATCTCCGTGATAAATTTAAACTGGATGATAAAGAAGATGAAAATTGTCTGAAATTATTTGACATGTTCATGCGTAATCAGATTGTCTAGTTCAGCTGCTAGAACGTCGAACGGTATCCCCGCGGTTGCTGGTTCGAATCCTGTCGCAGCCCAGTATCAATAATACGAGTCTGTCAAACCATAGCTGTATCAGTTAGTCAACTTGATAATTAGTATAATGCTCCCTCTCCCTTATTCAGCCAGTTTGAATACAATGAACGATAGATAGTAATACATCACGAATTCACAGCCCAGTCAGACAAAACTCTGTTTAACATCATCTGCATATTAATATAAGAAGAGGAACAAATCGACTATTTGTTTTTGGTGGTTAATAGAAACCGCCTGAGATAGTTATGATTTTTTAGACTAGTATTACTGATACGGCGTGATGATTGAACGTGACTTAAAACCCTAGGCCACAACGGGATTCGTACCTGTGACTATCTGATTGTCAGACGAGAATAAGTCTACTCACTTTAGAGATTATTAACACCGTAAGAGATAACATTACTAGCTCCCTAATGCATAAGTTTCAGTCCACGGTGGTAATGCAAATGTTAACAGACAACTGATTGGTTCTTAACTTACTCACTAGCCAATTATCTTTGATTACCCATTTCTAAGTGCACTGGAGAAGTTGTCTGTTTCACTTACAGGCGACTGCGACACAGATGAGGACTTCAAAGCCAGGATCCGAGAACCAAGACAGGCTTTCCTGCATTAATCTAAAATAATCAGTGTGGAGATCTACTGCACTCAGCATAAAGCGTGAACAACATTCGGATTTTTAACAAAAAATCAGTACTTCTATGTGGTGGTTGAGAGACTTGGCGCGTTACGAAATGCATTTCCAACAAACTGCACACATCCATCACATTAACAGCTGCCGTTTACGTTCACTCGCCAGTGAAGATCAGATGGATGACCAGGAAGAATAAGCAACAGGGAATTCTGACTGGTAACGAACCAACTGACCAAGAACCTATCACCCAACAAAAATGTAGAAGAAAGTGGAGATGGATTGGCCATACACTGAGCAGATCATTCGGAGACACCACACGCCAGGCCAGGCCCTCGAGTGGAATCCAAAGGGGAGACGATGAGTTCGGCTCTCGAGGTGAGGGTGACATGGAGGAGATGGTGTGAGGAAGAAATGAAAGGTTATGGACAGTTGTGGAGCCAGATTCAAAAGACTGCAGAGAAGAGAATAGAATGGTGATGTGCTACTGAAGGCCTGTGTTGCACTGGGAACCCAGGAGACAAATAGTAATAATAAGTACACTGGCATGTGTTTACGAGTTGCATAGGATGTTAGCCCTATACCTACTCCAAGGAGTTTGGAGTATATGAACAGTGTTGAGGTCAGGTGAAGGGTACTGGGAAAGTCGGTTGATGAGGTTGTGAACCTTCATCGTCTTAGGTGGTTCGGATATATGTTGTATATGCTGAGTCACCCCCGACCTCGATGTGCCGTGCCAAGGGGAGAGGGTTCAGGGTGACCATACTAAGATGTGATACCATCCCATAATGTCTCTGACTGTTGTTCTGAATTGTACGGGGAGATGTAGATTGCCTAGTTGGAGTATCTTAGATGAAAGGAACTGATGGTTGAGTTCTTTTGATGATATAGCTGGAGATCGGTCACAATGGCGGTGATGTATTCACTCCTTGATGTCTTCCAATCCTTGATTATTTACACTAACGTTAATCTTCAGATTTTTCATTCTCTCACAAACATTTTTCGACTTTAATGTCACTTTTTGTCTAATCTATCTGTTCCTTGTATACTACTGTGGAGTGTGACAACTTGAACCGATGCACTTATATGTGACGTTCTCTATTCATTTTGTGTATCTGTTCATGGAAGTTTGGTTGACACAATGAAAACTAGTCTACGTGAAGTTGTTCATCATTTCTGTATCAACTATCGACTTCAGGATATAAAAGCATCATTACAATCGAGTTGGGATTGAATGTGTGGAAAAAAAGTGTATTGATAGATGTAGATGCATAGAGTAAGAGCTGTTTATGTAGAAATGTTTGTGGTAGATGAAAGAATCATGGAGACTGATTGTCATTATCAATATCAATATAGGATCAGGCATTACTGCGTAACAGTCCAAGTTGCCACACCTCATATCAGTATATCTAGTAGAAAGGTAGTGAGGTGAAGGATGAAGATAAGAGAATGCAGTCAAATGAAATATAAAGTATAAGAAGAAAGAAGAGAGGAATGACAAAATGGTGAGAATCGGTATAGCGTCGTTAAGATGAGGATAATGTGTGTACACATCTGAGCCACTCATACCGGTTCTCAGTCATATCGCGTACAGTCAACCTCCAACTACTGGTTTCCCTTGTCCCGCGGACCACAACCACCTAGTCTGCATAGTCTCACATGGCCTTAACCAACAGTCAAACACTTCATACATTCATGCCATGTTTTAGTCTGGCCACCTCGGGCCTTTTTCCAGCTTGCACCTACTTCGGCCAACATTGTGTGACGAGGCAATCGGTGACTAGGCATACATAATACGTGCCCCAACCATCTCAGTCGATGAAGGTTCACAACCTCGTCAACTGATTCGCCTCTACTCCCTGAAACTCTTTACCTCACTTCTGCATTACTCACATGGTGACACCACGGAATACGGCCTATACTACGAAGGCAAGGGTGGTCAAACACTTGAAGCCTTCTTATATCTTTCACTTTCAATAGCCATGTTTCACAGCCATACACTAGAACAGAGCGGACTGCTGTGCAGTACACGCGACCCGTAGTAGACAAACGAATATGACGGCGGCGCCATAGGTGGCTTAAATTGGCAAAAGTTAATCGAAACTTTGGTATCCATGCAGAGATTTCATCGGCAACTAACCCACCAGGGTTGATCCTACTTCCCAGATAAGTGAAGTGGTCAACACATTCAACCACTTCACTCTCTATTGTTAACCATGGCCCCGTTGAAGACCATTCCTAGAGCAGCAATTTGCATTTTGGGTGGTGAAAACCGCATCCTAAATATTCTCAAATTGCCACTCAGAGTGTTCAGAAGACTCTGCATCTTGTCAGCGTCTTCACCTAAACTGACTATGTCATCTGCATATTCTAGGTCTAACGAAAATTCTCCACCGATTAGGTCAATGTCTGTGTAACCTAGTGACGAGAGCGAGACCTCTATTAGAGTATTTATGATGAAATTGAATAGGAATGGAGATAGTGGGCATCCTTGACGGACACCACTCGATGAGCACAAGTGTAATACTGAGTAGTATAAAACTAAAGACATAAAAACGGATGCAAAATTAAAACTAATTGGAGTAAGCGAGAACAAGGTAGGAAAGGAATTAACCGTGAACAATCCATTTTCTCGATTAGATTTCTCTAGACCTTATTATAATATACTCGTAGCTTTTCAAGTATACATGAGATTTAGGCTGTCGTATGGGTGTTTAGTAAAAATGAGAGCAGTAGTCAAAGAGTCACAAATATCCTTAACGCGGCTATCTTTTGTTCTCAGTCGTTGACATTCTGAATAGGTCGCCTTTCGGTGGTACATTTCCCACACATTTTACTAAATGCAATAAGAATTGGGTATTATATGGGCCAGAAGTCAATTTTCATCTCCTCCCTCTTATCAACTCGTGCTTAGTGGTAACTGGGGTAATAACAAGGGCATTTCCTTAGTCACACTAAGTCATAGGACCCACCAATCAAAATCATTTATCACTCTTTTCTTACCTCTAGTATGTTCATTTTCAAACCTTGTTTCTCGACTAACTTTGTCTTTCATTATAACACAAACTCTGATGAACCTACTTTGTCTTTCTGAAAATCTATTTCTCAAAATTCGTACAAACACTTACAATACCACTGTTTTTGTGTTCCTAGAATGCATCACTCGAATCCTTGTTATCGTCAATTGATAAATTAATTTAACTGGTTCTTATTTTGTATACATCTGTAAGGCTATGTATAATAGAGTAAAGCCTGGAGAGATCTGATTGGTAGCAGTGTTTCAAGTTGGAATTCATCATGAAGTTAGATCATTTGGAGAATCATTGAAACCCTGGACAGCTGTCTCTTCCCAGTATGCAGCTATTCAGCAGTGTAAATCAATGACCCCGTCAGTACCTTCAGAGTTCGAGCCGATCACATTGTCATCGGTTTACTGGGTCGTAGTCCAACAATCTATATTTCTCTACTTCAGTCAGCTCACGATATAACGCTGCGTTCATACGATGCCACCGTTAAGTGTTTACTCTCATGTTCAACTTGATTTGCTCCATCGGTTACGTTTCCCACTGGAAATTCGAGAAGAAATACTGAACTATGGCATTGGATGAAGGTCAGGCAATGGGTTTCTCTGGGCACACCACTAATGAGCTCAACCCCAAACGAGCGAATTGGCTGTCTGGTGTTTAGATCACGCTGATCTGTCTGGATGCTGAAATTTACTGGTTGGTGTGAATAGTTTCTAATTATTCAGTAGTATAAAACATGATATTTGATAAATGCATGTTAACTTTTGTTTATTTTCATATTTACAGTTCCAATATCGCTTTGATCAAGAACGATTTCTTCTTGCCACATCTACTTAATCCTAAGTGGACAAGACGATTCCATATAATTACAATCCTTTCCATTGAATAACGAGAAACTGCAATAGTATTTTCACTGAGTGATTTCTTTCAGATATCATGCTTATCATGATAGAAATATATCGAAAAAACGACACTTTGAAAGACATCAAGGGGATAATTTAACTATTTGTGCGATGTTTTGATGTGTATTTGCTGAACTGTTATGATAGTTTTGTTCATTATTCAGAAACTGAAAGCAATTAACACGATAGAGTCTCACTTATTTGTCAAAAATGAACTGAAGTCCATGAAAAAACATCTAAGTTTGTTGTTTTGTGAGCAAGTAGACTTTCGAACCATACGCCGCAGAATTTCTTATTTGTTGTGATGTAACTAGAAATATTGGTGACTCAATATGATGAAAATATCAATCGTTGACTTCATTTGTTTTAATGTATGGTACAGTTTCCAGTTTATTTTATTGGTACTAAGCTATGACATCCCACTGGATTACATATATCACTTATATTTTCACTAGGTGCCGATGTAGGGAGGGAACTGAAAAGCAAAGACATCAAGAAATGCGCCACGAGAAATAGTATAACAACATTGTGAAGACGTAAACAATGAAAAGTGGATAAAAAGAAAAACGCAATGGGAGTATAATGATTAGAAAAGCAGTCCTGTAAGATTCACTCAAAACAAAACATTCATTACTTTTCAGCAGAAGATAGGAGAAAGCTACAGCAAGACTGACACTGGTCTCCGTCCTGAGCCATATCTGGTAACGTCTCTAGTCACTGGTTTGCGTGACCTCTCGGACCCCAACCCAGGTAGAGCGTTGTAATGCACCGACAGATGCCAACCCTTTACAACTATCCTTCATCCCATGGGGCCATGTCATACGCTGACCACCCCTTTGCTTCTTTCATCCATTCTCAGGGCTACCAAACAACAAACGGTAAGGAAGCCGCTTGGACGATATGCGTAACATGTGTCCAAGCCACTGTTTCCAGGTGACTTCACTCATTGAGTGACGATCTCCATCATGCCTGAACACATGTCTTACCTCAGAGTTGCTCACATGGTGTTGCCACTGACTGCGAGCAATCCTACGGAAACAACGGTGACCGGACGCGCAGTCGCCGCACATCAGCTTGAAGAGACCAGATTTCACAGGAGTACAGTAGAACTGCTTACATGGAAGCATTGTGGGCCCTGCGTTTTACAGCCAGACCAACATTGTGTCTGGGCCAAAGGTGGCCCAGGTTGTCGTATGCCATTGGCTTTTGATGTGGTTGGAAATTTCGTCACTCAAGCCTATCCAGATACACGAACTTTACGACTGCTTCCAACGGTTCGCCACCGAGGGTGGGCAAAGGTTCCTGCCAATCCTGCAAAAGTACTTTACACTTCGACGGTGCAAAGCGCATATCATGCTTACGGGTTAAAGGTGTGCTGGGAGCTTGTGCGCACATACTGAGGCATAATAATTATACGAAAAATCAAGTAATTAGCTTCCAGTTTAGAGTAGAGCCGTCAAATGTACTGCATGCGTGGTTTGCCATAATTACATAAGTTTTGTGATGTGATTCGCAGACATGACGTCTAGATAGTAACAGGGATGCCTTTAAACCCCCTTGTATTCATCTTAAATTCAGATATTCTATAAGGTATAGCTACTGCCTGTCTGATTATACGAGGTTTACAAGCTGGCGAGCTTGGTAAAACAACGGAGGTCAGCGTTCAGTGCGATAGTCTTTACTACTATGATATGTACTCATGCTGCTCGTTTCTTGGTGCTCATAGCTGCTTAAATTCATGTTGGAATTCACAACATCCAGTAAAACACGTTTAGGAGAGATTTTTAACTCACGATACCCTAAAGGTTGGTCATACTCTTCCTCTAAGATATCAGACTGATTTAGTTATCTGACTTTATCCTATCCTCTGGAACAAAACAGAGGTGCAGCATATAAATAGGTAGGTATCACCTATTTCACCGATATGCAATTTCGTATCGTGTGGATAGGGCAGAGTAACACGGAAGCAACCTCTATGATTTGAATGCTTGTACATGTACCTTCAGGTGAACAAGTTCGTTAAACTGTGTAGGTCATCAGGGATGTTGAGTATCGCTTGACTTTATGCTAGTGATTTCAGAGGATAATTTGCCACTCTAGTTAACTCCTCAACTAAGAGGTTCGTGGGGACCCTACCATGGTACCAGGCACAAGTAGAAATTTCAGTGTTATGCCACTACTGAAACTCAGCAGATAGGCTCATTGACCTGAGCGTCCCCTGATTTTCTCTACCTCTTCTCGAGTATCAACAAGTCGCAATGTACAATTAATGCAACGAAAATTCAAATTCCTTTCTTGTTTACTTCTTTAACTTTCACTGTAGTACTAGTTGCAACTAGAAGACAAAACAGAACACACTTATAATGGTTGCAGTCAGGAAGTTCCGTTGGGCGATATTTAGACGATGGTTCACCTTGTTGAAAGACTACATGTCCTTTTTAACATAAACTTAGTCAGAAAGTCATGAATCGCCCTCACTTATGGGCTACCACACTGCTTGATTGTGATGGCATACAGTACCAACCTACGTTAATTTCAGCCAGGCTGATGCCCTCTTTAGACTAATTAGTTCACAGTATTCATTAAGAGAAGATACTGTGATCGCAGCCATACCACTGGAAACTGGCTCACTGACTTTTGAAAATATAAAAGCGGTCACAGAAACAGATAGGATTTTAAAAGCCGTTGAAAGTGCTTAACATTTCATCGTACTGAGGATCTCAAACACTACTCCCACTGCCGTGACTTAGTGTTGATTGCAGACTTTTGTGCTATATTCGGTGTCGGAGTTGTGGTACCAAAGTGTCTTCACCAGTCGGTACCAAAACAATACCCATTTTAGACACTACTATGATTACGTTGCTGGCAAGTAGTTACGTATACTGGCCTAATACGCACCAGGAGGTTGAAAAGTATCAAAACTGTCTTAGTTGGGGTAAAAACACCCAAGGAATATCCCACATACTAATGACCGATGGCAGAAATTAAGTGAAAAAGACTTTATCCTGTTTCTGTTGGGCCAGTATAGGGAAATCTGTTGTATTGTTGTTGATAGACCCAGCAAATGACCTGAAATCTTTTGTTCATCAAAATCGCAAAACTGTCCTCTATATTTTAGCTGCTTCGGCATACTAGGAACTACGGTAACGGATAATAGTGCACAGATTACTTCTGCAGCTTTCTAAAAACAAGATGCGATCCGGAATTCAGGTTCTACGGCTTACCACGTTCAATCAAATGAAGAAGTAGAGATTCATGACAACATCTAGACGGTCTTTATTGAACAGGTAAGGAAGGGGGTTGGAGCACCTATCTTCATGAAGACAATAACTAGTAGCTTTCTAGTAGGTCACAGAAGCGCACCAGATGCCATCACACATACAAGATAGGAAATCTAAAAAAGTCCGTGTTTGGCTACAGGATAGGGTCAGTTTTTGCTTCCATGCTACCTACATCTGAGTAAAAATGAAATGAGACCACGGCTGTGAATTAACTCCTGGTGGTAAGGCTATGATTAGGACATGCCAAGGTAACAACCTTTGGCAGATAGAATTAATCAAACGCCGAATCAGTTGAGTGAGTTACTGAGTGCAAATCAGCTCAGAAACCTGGATAAGACACGTCAAATGCGACCCAAACCTCATGATCTAAGTGAAACGGATTTGTCTCAGCTTCCTAGACAACCCAAAACAGTCTGAAGGTGAATTGTAGTTTCCAATTAAGAACAGCCTCTGGAACTCTGTTCAATCAAAACTACGATGGGGGAGTGATTCTTTCCACGGAACCCTCAAACAAAAGTGGAGTAGAGCGGGAGGTGTTTTGAAGTAAGCCACTATCCCTGGTATATGATTCCATCTTTTATTTAAGGTCCCCGAAATACTATCACTTATCCCAGACACTGCTGACCCATCTTCGTCAGACAGCGTAAACATCAGCAGGTAACTCAAACTATAAACTGGGATGTTGTATTGAAAAATAACTTAACAAATACCGAACCAGTAGCAAGCGGATTGGTTGTTCTATATCAGTATAATTCAACAAATGTTAAAGTATAATGTGAATGTTAAATATTTCAGCAAATAGAATATGACATATATGCCACATAAGCCCCTCCTTAGAATACAGATATAGGAGGGAATCCCTGTGTTCAGTATAAGAATAGGTTATCGGACAAAAGTACAGTTATTCTCAAAATGTTTAACGTATACAGGGAAGAGTGAGGATATTTATTATCAGGATGCGGACTGATTGGAAGAGTATATCTATAGGAATGAACTATATAAGAATCGAAATAACAAAATAACTTTACCAAGTTAATAATATATCGGAAAGAAGAGGAATCAAAATCGCAACACCCGGAATGTCATTGAGAACCAGCAGTTTGGAGATAAAAGGTCAGGAGGGTTGTGCGGCTATACAAAAATGTTTTTGGAAAAGTTTGACACACTTATAGAAGTGTAATTCAGCAACGTAATGAAGAAAGCAGTAATATCGTTGCAAGTGGATTGGTTTTATTAAGTCAATTGTCTAGATGTAACTTTGTAGGATCACCGATGATTTCCCTGTTTGTAGTCAACTGGACCATGCAACAAACAGGCTAAAACTAACAAGTTGGCAGAAGAGGCGAGGCATCAAAGGAAAACAGGACTTCCTTCAAGTGAACGTGGACAAGACAGAGGTGATGGAGACACAGTCAACAACAAGCGCTAATCACGATCAACAAAACAAATCTAAACGAAGCCGTCTCTTTGACCTGCCTAGGCAGTACTGTCTCAACTACTGGCAGCACAGACACATGAGGACGTTAAAGGAAGGATCGGAAATACAGAAAGCCAGGCCTTCATTAACCTAGAATCAGTGTGGAGATGTACTTCACTCAGCATAAAGAACAAGATCGGGATTTTAAACACTAATGTCAGACAAGTAAGTCAGTGCTTCCATATAATTCAGAGACGAAAAGCAGGCCAGGTCGTCGAGTGGAACCGAATTGGGAAATGACAAGCTGGGCATCCGCGGGTGATATAGAGGAGGCCATATGAGGAAGAAATGAAAGGTTATGTGCAACCAGATCCAAACGACTGCAGGGAAGAGAATGAAATGGAGACGTGCTACTGAAGGCCTATGTTGCACTAGGAACCCAAGAGACAAGTAATAATAATAATAAAACCTTGTAGCCAACGAAATCTTCAAGACCTTGTTCTTCTGTTCCAATCGTTAGCTCCGGGTGCATCCGACGACACTTTTAATCCTGATGTTGGTTTCCAAAGTTTCCGGTTGGTTTACTTTAGATTCACACTTGGGATCCGTGATGTCTGATTTCATAAACGCTAGGCTGACTCTAGCAGTGCTAAAGGT